CGGGGGCAGGCGGGCACCGGAAAAATGGATGGCTGATTTCTCGCACCCCGCTCGCGGATTTTTTTGGAAAGCAATTAGAATTTTTTGGAACGCCGCTTGCTGAGTTCTCGATTCCTCAGAGATTCAGCAATATATCTGTAAAAGATAAGAGCGAAAAAAGACTCAAAAGGCAGTCTTTCAAAAATCCGCTGACCATTCTCCTGGAATTTGCGAGCGGAATGCAAGATTTCAGCAACGCGTATTTTCCGGTGCCCGCCTGCCCCCGGCGATTGTCTGAGTGACTGGAGAAAAACAAAATCATTCCTGAAGTTCAACACGGATGTTACATGGTGGATCAAAAAGGCTGTTTTGATTCGGTTTTTGATTGAAATACGGCTCTAAACGCTGGTAAATCTATTGACGCCCTAATTCCTAATCTCTCCCAAGCTTTTGAAAAAGTAGTCGTAAGCGACTTCTAAAATTCGAACATTACGGTATCAGAGGTCAGCTTTTGTACCGGTCATTCATACTCTAAAATTCCCTGCTCGCTTGAGGGTAGTAATCTAGTCTGCGTGGTGGCATCGAAGATCCGGCAAGTTGGCACATGTCCCGAAAAGATGCCATTTGTGGCGTAAAGCACAGGCTGACCAGAGTCGTACCGCCACTTTTCCACCTCTCGAACTTCCAACATCGACTTCAAGCGCAGTTGCGCTTGCGCTATCTAATCGACCACAGGTACACATTCTAGGACTTTGCCAATAACGCTAGAGAAAGTGTGCCTGGTGTGCACATGATCAATGATGTGTGTGGTAGACTTTGGACTTTGCAAAAACAGCTGATCGACATGAACAACGAAGACAAAGAAATAGACAAGGACAAGATTTTGGAGGAATGTAAGAGTACAGTGGTGCTGATCGAGACCAATCGATTGATTAAATTTAATTTGCATCCAAAACAACGAATTGATCTAGAGGAGAGAAAATGATAAATGATTCCATTTTAACGGGAAAGAAATTTTGGACTGGGTAACAGAATGATTGTGAGGCTCGAGCTCTAGATAATGTCGCGTCACGCAAATTTGTAGACGCCACCAGCAAGTTGCCAGTTCGATGTGGTGAGGGCTCGTCAGGATGTCAGCATTTTGCCCTCAAGAATACATGCTATTTTTCTGCTGACCTGACTCCGGCAGTTCTCAGCTGCAGAATTTCGACGAAATGTTGGGAGGTTAGCTCGCAAAATTGCCTGCAACCTCCCCTGCTTTCTGTAAAGTCCTTCTACAAAGGGATCTTCTTCCAGGAAGTTTTATGAAAAGGCTTTAGACGGCCTAAATGAGAAATCCTAGTTTTTGCCAACCTCACGTCAAGGTGCCGGCGACCTGCCGCACCTGCCAGGTCGTGGGATCCACGGGCCCTAAAGGCACATAGCACATAGCGATATTAATATTCAAATGTCTGCTATTGATAGTGAAATTTATTTTTGTTACCGAAAAGTAATGATTTCTTGTTTTTAGAATAAAATATTCCAGTGCATGCGATGAAATCCAAGATGGTGCATCTTGGGCTTTCCCAGTCCCCATCTTATACAGGGTGTCCGTAAAAAATGTGCCTACTGTTTGATTGTGAATAACTCTCTTCTAACGAAGTCTTTCGAGAAGCTTTAGGCACCATTTTGTAGAGCTGGCTTCAACTTAGATTTACAGTATAGAGCGAATCGCCGATCTCTCATTCTTACTGTAGGATTACGGTAGAAACTTTAAACATATGGTGTCAATGTGAAAAAAGCTGCCATTTCAAAATTTTTCAAAAAAATGTGAAGACTTGTGCAATAAGGTTTTCATGGAGCTGAGTTCAATATTCAACTAGTCACAAGATTGCGAAGCTTTTTAAACGGTGTAACCGCGTTTTTTAGCGACATTGAAAAAATGGCCGCTACCTCTTACTTGGCATAAATCTTCAATGAAGCATCATTATAAGTTGAGAATCTCACAATTAGAATCGGCAACTCTAATTAGCCTAGTGTGAAAGTTTTCAGGCTGTCTTGTTTCCTTTCCGAGGCAAAATATGGCCTTTCACGGCTCAAAACCCCTTTTTAAAGTTTCCACCGTAATCCTACAGTAAGAATGAGAGATCGGCGATTCGCTCTATACTGTAAATCTAAGTTGAAGCCAGCTCTACAAAATGGTGCCTAAAGCTTCTCGAAAGACTTCGTTAGAAGAGAGTTATTCACAATCAAACAGTAGGCACATTTTTTACGGACACCCTGTATATGTAATGTCCTCTTGTACAGTGTGACGCAGCCAAAAATCTTCGTGTGCTAGTGGATAACCAACTTAGGCCTTACGGCACTGTGCGTTAGCTGCTAGAGAAGCTTCAACAACTCTCTTCACGATCTCAAGCAACATTCACTCAATGAGCCACAGCTTCTGGTCAGCCTTCACAAAATTTACGTACTGCCAAATTCAGATCACGCTCAAAAAGTACAATCTCTGACCCACACAGGTCGAGTAAAAATCGCGTGGATCTTGACGCGCACTTCTCAAGAGTACCATTTATCGGATCAGCTTGTGTTTTGCACTGTTTACCTGCATGGTGATAGGGTGCTATGATATAAATTTCAGCTGAAGACCTTGCCTACAACACGCTCTATGAATTTCATGACATACAGACATAAACACACACAGACAAACAGACAGACACGCGCTCTATTATAAGTCATAATAATTTATTTTTGGCTGCAGCTCCATTGACCAAGTTAAGGTAGGCATAAGGCAGCCAGACGAAAAATCGCAAAACTGGAGGAAATTTGTCGTCATGTCGGCACACGAAAATGTAATCTGTATTCGCTGTGCATGTATGCAGCGGTGTTAGGGTGGTTTTACGGTAGCTAGGTTAAGACCATATAACGAGCTCAAACTTGGTCCAGTGGGGTTATTCGGTGCTTTGATTATGAAGAAACATCCATCTTCACTGCGTGCCCAAGAGGGGTACGGTAGTATACGGTAAACCGCCGAAATCATGCAAATGAAATAAAACTAGGCTTGGTGGGTTATTCTTGTGCATCATGGATATGATAGCCATTTGGCATGCTTATGAGAAATATTCTGTCCCTTTCTTGCGAAACATAGCGTGCTTATGGTAAGTGTATAGTAGTTGGCTCAAAATTGGCACAATTGACTGAGATTCTGCTTAATGGGGTTAATCGGGGCCCTGTTCACTAATACAGTACCCATTCTTTCCCGGAACAGCATACGAGTCATAAGTAAGTGCAAGGCAGTGGCTAGTCTGAGCAATTTCGTTCGCGTGAGAGGGAACAAAATTCTCTAGAAGATGGGACGTGGCCTCACCACGCATTCCGAAAAAAATGCTTATCAACTTTTCGATTTCATTGAAAAAGAAGGCTCATCGACTCCCGAGCCCCCTCCCCCTTAAAATTGTTTTTTAGGTAATTTGAGTATGTGAAGTTTTGCGAATCACTTTATTTATTTGCAGGTAGTCACTAGTCATTTGCACAACTTCGTAACTCATGTAGGTAACTTTGAAAACTCGGCAATCCATAGCCGCCGCTTCCACAGCTTCCCCCTTCCTTCCCCCGGTATACAGTGGCGGGTAAAAGCTACATTTAGCTCATCTTTAGAACAAAATCAATCGCAAACGTTTGCAGTTTTCATATACATACATTACATGTTTAATACCTATCACTCAGCTATCACCTTCCCTTCATTAGTTTAAAACAATGTAAATATAGTTTTTAGTTTTCTTGGTTTTAAGTTTAGAGTGAGAATCACTTTAGATCTCAGAGGCATTTTATATGGGAAAGGAAGGAGTAGTGCTTTGTGTTGACTGCAGAAAGATGTAGCTGACTTGCCTTTGAAATGAAGTTAATCATGTTTGAAGTTTTGCTTGAACAAAGTACAGGTGTATCTGAGGCTAGATTGTTAAGTTGCTGGATATCTAACGTGGACCAGTCTAGCCTCGGAAACCCTCGAACCATCACACTTAGGACGGTAGTATTCCCCAGTGCTAACCGTCTGTTGCTTTTCCTTAATCGTCGAAGTCTGCTTCTATGGCTCAAGCGGATCTCATCTGCGGTTTATCGAAATGCGTTTTACCAGGTGTCCTTAAGAAGTGTGAGTGTGGCAAAGTCTCTTTATTTGTTTCGAACATTTTCTTTTTATCATGCTGTTCTGAACGTTTTTATACCCTTTATACGTACGTACATAAAGATAGTACTTTTTAGCTTATAAAGTACTTTTTGGGCTTGATAGTGTCTAGGTTTCCGCTCCAAAAGTGGGCTCAAAGAGGCGCAATGGAGCCTACTATCTTGGCCTAAAACGCTTTCATTACTCTTTTCTATTTTTGCGACAGCGCTTCTGTGTAATGTCTTCCTTGTTGGGATTACCGTCCTCTTCGCTGTGAAATGTAAAAAAAGTTTAACGCCTTCGCTTACATGACTATGAGGAAATGATCAAGTAACAATGTAAGCTTTCATTATTGTGAATGTAAGCAAACAAATCAATAAACCGATTGAAGGGCCCAGCGAATCGTCTCAGAAGATAGCCTACCTTTGTATTTCTTTTGGAAGGAAGCGAGTTTCAGCCTCCTATTTATATACAAAGGAGTCTATATGCCATATACAAGCGAACATGTATTTATATATAGAAGCACTATTTCCAGTATCAAAGGAGCGTAAAAATCAAAGACACCTCAATTAGTGATATCAACTTCAAATATGCTTGCGCAGATGGATTGGAGAATCAATAGGACAGACAATGACTGAGCGTTGATTGACCAACTCTCTATAAGTAGTTTACTTCTGCTTCATTTAATTTTTTTCCAGCAAAGTTGATTTCAAGTCATAATCTAATTTTTTCCAGCGAAGATGATTTCAAGTCAGTCAGATAGTTGGCACCAGTATAAAAAGATCTTAATAACAACGACGACATGACGCAAAAAATTTGATAAAATTTATTAATGATTAATGTAACAGATTGGTGTAATATTTGTTTTCAAAAAAATCTTGACTCATAATCTTACTTCACCGGTGCTTGCCTCTTCATCCGGTTTGTTTTTCAATTCGCTACAATGAATATAACTAAGCTTGTATGAAATATATCCAAATTTGCGCGAATTATCTACAGTTTGACATCAGCCATATCTTTGCTACTTACTCACTATTTGATGAACGTTCTGATCCGCAGCCATGTGTCACGGCAGTTTTCAATATTATCGTGCGTAGCTCTCAACCACAGCGGCGGTACCTAAATTCTGCATAATCTGCTGAAAATTCAAAAGCAGTTTTACGATCGACGATAAGTAATGAGACTATGTGACAAGGGTGAACAATTTGAAATCCATCACTTATGGTAGCTACAAATCATTCAGTTGTATTATGGGATCCGCGCATACGAAATTAGATGTTCCTCTCGTCGTGACAGCTCACTTATTGCCGACTACTTTGAAATATTACTTTCACTATTTTTGAGATCCAGCTCATGAACAGGGACAAGCGTGATGTGTGGCACTCACACCTGGAGGGTCGTAATGCAGGGTCATAGAAGAAAGGTCGTGAACGAAAAGACGTTGGCGAGTGAAAGCGTGATATTCAAAGCATATTAGATAAAACCGTTAAGCCATTGGCAAAGTGCACGCAATTTTCGCCTCGCGATTCCCCAAACAAGGTAACGGACGAGTCCATTGCAGGCCGGTCATCTTGCATTTCAGTTGTGATAGTTATACACGATTAGTCATGTCGGAATACACTATCGGAACGGGAACGCAAGGTGATCGGCATGCAAAGGATTCGTAACTTTGTCTGTTGGAGAATCGCGAGGCCATGAAATCGCGCGAACTCTGCCCGAGGCCTTACGCAGAGTAAGCACCTTGACCAAATTTCAGCGATTGTTGAAGTTTCAAAATATGAACAACCATTGAAATGGTCATTTTCAAACACAATATGGTTCCTTTCAAAGGTGTTCAAATGGCAGGGCTCCTAATCCTACAATTCGGCATTGTTTGAAGTGGGATTACTGAGGTGGTATGTATCAATCTTCCGTTCGGGTGTTTCCGTACAGATCCTGATCAGACTTCCCCCGGTGCTCCAACGTAGGCGTCCGACTTGTCAAAGCCCGCTCAGGCAGAATCGGCTCGGTCAGCAACAAATGCTTCCCTACCCGATCGCTTAACATGTTAACACACGTATTTTTTGATCCTTAAGGGTTATTCAGTACGCTAAACACGATTATGGTGTTGATTTTGCTAAGTAGGCGCAATTTTTTGATGTTGTAGTGCATGTGGTCTACCGGATTGGATCAAAAGCTCAACACTCGTCAAATCTGTAGTACATCAACCTCTTGAAGCGCACAGAAAGACTCTTTCAAGCACACGAGACCATAATTGTGATAAGGATGTTGAAGCAGCTCCCTACATAAAGTTTTGAGCAATCTCCCCCACCCCCATGTACGTTTGAGAGAAATCCAAGACTTTAACCAAGGCTTGGATTACGGGGTGGTCATATAGCTCCCGCTTTTTACAAAATGTAGGCCATGACGTCAAATGATGAACAATGTGGAAGTACGCGTAAGAGCAGTACAAGAGACGACACTTGGCGCAAGTTATCCATAAACTCTTTCAAATTATGTGAAATAGCGCAATCTTTGATTGTACTTGAAAGTGCCAGTCAATCGAACAAATCATTCACTAACAACGACTGAGGTTTGATAATCGTTTTCTTACAAAAGATCTGCGTGTTTTACGATTTAATTTGATTAGATTTTGACATTGGCCCGAAACTCAAAGCAACATTCAGTTCGGGCCCTGCTGCCCGTCCTTATAAGAGGATCAAATCAAATCATAGATCACAAAGACCTCTTGTAACAAAACAAGAAATTCCCGATTTAACTAAACATTGTCGAGCACCTAATCAAAGATTACGTTACTTCACATGATTTGATAGTTAAGAGATCGGGTAGGGCAGCACGTGTTGCTGACCAAGCCGATTCTGCTTAGGCAGGCTTTGGGAGGCCAGACGCCGACGTTCGAGCACAGGCGAAGTAGTGAGCTCGCGTATGATCGGGGTTACATCTGAACTGAAATACTTACCCGAACAGGAAAAATGATATACCGCCCTGGGGCGGTATTTATCAATCTCCTGTATATCTCATACCTGTTCGGACACCTACTGTGAAGTAGCACGCCAGCAGTGCAAGCGGGCGCATATCAAAAACGCCTGCTGGCGTAAATTTTGCATACCGCAAACACATGAAAACCTATTGTTTTTCAATGTTTTCTCTTTCCTTTCGGTCCTAGGGCACAGTTTTTGCTTATATGCACATTTAAAGATCACCAGGGTCGAGCAAGAGATGTGGCACACAAGAGCCGGATACGACCCCTCCCCCCATCTTCTGTCTCAATACCCCCTCCCCCTCATTATTATCGTTTACCTGCCGTAGGCATGACATAAAGGTTATTAGCATAATTAGGCACGTATTCGTAATTATCACGTTAAGTAAGCACCATGGGCCAAGTTATAGCAAATTCTGAGGGTTCACAATATTGGACCACCCAAGTGAAGTGATCATTTTCAAACATAATTAACCATTTTAAAAGTGAATTAGCTAACTCTTTTTGTACTCATTACAAATCAATACACAATACTCCCTATGTTCTTCTACCATGGATCCTGCTTCAAACAAATCAAACTATGGAACTAGAAGCAGGCCAAAATCTCGTTTGTCCCGTTTTTCGCTTCCAATGACTGCGCTTTCACCAGCTTTTACTCAAAGCGAAGAAGATGAATCAGGCCCAACTTACCCCCATGAAAACTAAAAAACTAAGGCCATCAAACTATATACATTTTGTTCGCTAAGATTCTTTTCGGAGGTAAGTTGATGGGGTGTGGCACAATCCGTGTGCCACACCCCATTAACAAACTGTGGCCGCCACACCATTTTAGGGGTTGTGTCACACCCCATTAACTTACCTTCAAAGCATTTAACTCTCTGTCTTTTTATATGATTGCTACGGCTAAACGTTCTTCTTACATAGCAGGAATTTCATTCAAAATTGTTTCTTTTAGGAAAGAATATGGACATTTTTCCTTAGCTAAGCAAATGGAAAATACCGAAAATAATGGATTACGGTAATATGCTGAGTCTGCTCAATCGCGAAGAAAGGCGACAAGAACAAGTAATTCTATAGCCTGGTTCTCGATACTTTTACAAAAGTGATTTGAGCCTGATTGGTCTTCTCTATTCCGAGAAATTGAAATGAAAAATGGGACAAGCGAGATTTTGGATTGTTCATAATTCCAAAATTTAGAGGTTGGTAGGAGTGAAATTCCTAATGCGATTAAAGAAGTAGTGGTACTTTGTAAAAAGTGGAAAAAGTCACTTCTTCTCACTTGAGTGTCCCAAAACTTGGAAACCTCAGAATTCGCTGAAACTTGGCCCAGGGGGATATGCTAATCAAAATAATGATGCTGTTATGCTTTCAGGATTCTTTTAATATGTTTACTATGCGTGTAAGACGGTAGGCCAAAACATTAGTGCTGGTATTTTGTACAATGGGCCTATCAGACATTGTTGAATGACATCAAGTCGCTAACATCACTATCACCTCAACAACGACCCCTACCCTCTTCCTGACTCCTCTACGACCCCCCATGTGTGGTGTGCCACATCTCACGCTTGATTCTGGTGATTACGTCAACAATTTAAAGAGAAGATAGATAAAGCGAAGTAAGATAAAGCGATTAAGGTCGTTTTTTTGGGGAGGTTAGAAGTGGCCACTTCGTTTCAAACACCAGTAATTCACTAAATATTCTGTGTTGTAGGACAACTCATAGCAGTGGGATAAGTTAAAATGCAAATATGCATAAAAAGTCTTATTTCTGGTTTAATGAGAACAGTACATAACAAACGGTTTAAGTTAGAAGGCTGGATTGAACCACTCTAATTATCAGAAAACCCTGTTACAATCGTATTGTCTGGACTTCACTTAGGACACTGGAGTTTAAGGGTCTTATCTAGCAAGTTTGGTCAATATGGGCACGTCAGGCCCGATCTCGACAGGTCGGGCTGGGCTGCCTGTTTTGGCCATGCTAGCCAATCTTTCGCAAATCAGGGATTAAACGCTCTTGTGTATCCGGGCCGTGTGTAACGGTGCAACGCGCCTGAACAGCGAGCGGGAAATTATACATACCGCCCCTAATGTCATAACAAGGAGTAGTGCTTTGTATTGAGTGCAAAAAGAGATAGGCAACTACCTTTGAGACAATTAGCCATGTCTGAAAATGGTTATTCTAGTCGAGTATATTGAAATTTCAAAATTCGCTGAAACTTTGTTCGCGGGTAAACGGCAATTCGGGGGAGAGAAGGAAAAGGGAGTTTATATCTGGCACTTGTATGCCACCTCCCTTGTTCGACCCTGCTTATTAAGCAAGGCGACTATTATCCACATATCGAGTATGGAATTGCCTTGCCTATCATTTTTGTTGGCAAAACACGCGTTTTTGACAGAACATATGAAGCTCGCAAAATCAAGTTTTTTTCTCGAGGGCTTTTTTTGTAAGTATACGGTGTCACAAAAGCGGGCTGTCTTGGACTGATCTATTGTAAGAAAAAACCACTGCGCCTTGCGCTTGTGAAATAAGAGTAATTGTTTTTTTGCAGCGAAAATGTACATTATGATGAGGCGAGCTGTTGGGTACAGCATATTAAAGAGCAATTACTTCGCAATATTTGAAAAATATTGGGATAATTGCAGGCGTGAACAAGTCGCTATTCGTATACCGAGAATTTGGCCATAATTGCGCGAAGGAGAAAGATCAACATCTATTCAAAAGCTCTGGACTTCGCTTGCCTTTCTATAGCCTTTGAATTCTTCAATGACAGATGAGCACTGAAAAAACATTCACAAATTTAGCAGTTTTTGAAAAGATGGCTTGTGGCAAACGCAACTAAAATGCAGCGATGGCGCAAAGCCTCTCTACATCACGGGTATCAAACTGTTGTAGAATATTTTTTTCTCCTGTTAGGGTTCTTTTCTTCTACGCCGCAGGACGTGGCAGCCTGCCTCAATCTGCCGCAACCTGCGCGTGCGCCGCTGCACTCGCAGCAAAAATATGTCGATGCCATTGCAGCTTCGCCTCCTATCGATGTTCTTCTTCTGTGCAGATTCGCATTTTTAAAGAGTAATCTTTAGGGTTAGCAGTTGTTAAAGAATATTCGTTGACGACTACCCTGACTCGTGCAATTACACCATCGTGGGCGCTTTTTTGGAGCCTTTCCAGCTTGACAGTACGCTGCAGCGCGCGGGGACTTGGTTGTTTGTGCAGCATCTCTGTCCTATAACCTCTTCTTAATTTGAGCATTGCACATCGTTTTTTCCTTATTTTTCATCTCAGGCAGTTACTCACTTTAATGGTCGTGTGAGACTATCGCCGCGGAGAAAGTTAGGAGAAGGAATGAGCGTTCTTCGTAGTGGCAGTGGTGATTAGGCTTTGGCCATACTTTGCCAGTGTTGCCGGTGTTGAAAGTGTTGCCGGTGTTGAAAGTGTTGCCGGTGCTGAAAGTGTTGAAAGTGTTGCCGGTGTTGAAAGTGTTGAAAGTGTTACCGGTGTTGAAAGTGTTGAATGATCATCAGTCTAGCAGTTTCATTCTTTCTCGAACGATCTCACCGGCTGGTGAATACGTTGGAAATGGAATTGGGGAATGAGAAATGAAATTGAAATGAGATGGGGAAGATTTTCGCATGCAAAAGATCCTCAAACAAACTTTTTGGAAAGTGGATGGCTTGTCTGGAATAGGCAATCTCCAATATTTGAAAACGCTGCAGACCTCACTTAGATCCTTCACTCACTAATCGCAAGCGCGGAAGGATTCGAACTAAAACACATTACTACTCAGACTTCAGCTTTTTTCAAATATTGGAGATTGCCTATTCCAGACAAGCCGTCCACTTTCCAAAAAGTTTGTTTGAGGATCATTTGCATGCGAAAATCTTCCCCATCTCATCTCAATTTCATTTCTCATTCCCCAATTCCATTTCCAACGTATTCACCAGCCGGTGAGATCGTTCGAGAAAGAATGAAACTGCTAGACTGATGATCTCCATTCAACACTTTCAACACCGGCAACACTTTCAACACTTTCAACACTGGCAACATTTTCAACACTTTCAACACCGGTAACACTTTCAACACTTTCAACACCGGCAACACTTTCAACACTTTCAACACCGGCAACACTTTCAACAACGGCAACACTGGCAAAGTATGGTCAAAGCCTTATCTTAGTATGATTAGACTTGCATGTTTTCCTTGATGTTTCACGACGATTTGACACTTTTTTAGGACAGACCACTGAAATGGTTAATTCAGCACTCTTATATCAGAGACACCATGTAGAAAATAAACATTCGAGTGGTCTTATCTAAAAAATGCATGATAGCCACTACTACTTATGAGCAAAACACATCTCCACCTGTCTTGCCCGGGGCGATGATCACGATTTTCAAAATGGATGTTTCGTACGTAAAACGGGGGAGGAATTCAGGAAATGTGCCTAAGGTAATTTTTCCTTACCTTTCAGTGTTTATCAAAGTAGAACGTAGGATATTTCATCACCGAGAAAAACTAAAAGAAGGAAAACGAATTACTGCCTAAAATATTAGGTTGGCTAATATTAGGTCGTCCCGAAAGTTCTTTAGCACCAAATTCAAAAATTCATAACTAGTTGAATTCTCAACGAATTTACAAAGTCTAAATTTTATATAAGAGAGGAACTCATGCTCTTTGAAAGTGTACTTGAACTGTTCGTTCATATGTACAAATGAAGGAGATAGAAGCTCAAAACCAAAATCACTCAAAAATTAAATTTTTCGTGTAGGGTCATAAAAAATCGAAAACTTGCAACAAAAATCGGAGCAGTCAGTATTGCAGGCTCTTTCATAAGCTCTTTCCAACAGTGCAAAGTTTGCGCCGATTGTGCGTCTCTGTGAAAAGTTATGAATTCCCCGAAAAATGCGCAAATAAATCAAATTCGACCTTTTGTATTGCTTGCTCGAAAATCATAACTTTTCATAGAGACACTCAATCGGCGCAAACGTTGCACCGTTAGAAAGAGCGGATAAAAGAACCTACAATATCGACTGCTCCGATTTTTGTTGCAAGTTTCCGATTTTTTATGACCCTACATGAAAAATTCAAATTTTGAGTGATTTTGGTTTTGAGCTTCTACCTCCTTCATTTGTAAACATTGACGAACAGTTAAGTATGTTTTCAAAGAGCATGAGTTCCTCTCTTATACAAAATTTAGACCTTGTAAATTCGTTGAGAATTCAACTAGTTCTGAATTTTTGAATTTGTTGCGAAAGAACTTTCGGGACGACCTAATAAATAAGTTCGGTCGCTTTTGCAGCCCTTACAAATGCTGCAGACGAATTTTTGTCCAATGTTTGGTATCTCTAAAAAGAGCGCTTCAATGGTGTTGGGGCATATATTCTGTTTGAGTAAAACTTATCTTCCAAGGATAAAAATCCGCAAAGAAGTGAGAAAGCGCAGTTTTCTCATAATGAGCAATATGCGGAAATTTGTTTTTTTTTTGGTAAAACATTTTCAAAGTGGCAGATCACAATTTTTTTGCTATTCACGAAATAGGAAAAACTCTTCTCGTCCAAATACCAAACTGCTGTTCTTTACATTCATTAGAGCATGAAAACGAAACTTAGGAAGTCAAAGAATTGAGCTTTTGGAAATCGCCATGTTAAGGAATAATTGTCTTTAACGATGGTAGAAAATTCTTATTTGACATGTGATAGAGGAAGCTTTGAGCTAATTTTCCACAAAAAATCATAGATAGAAAACAACAAGAAAATTTTTTTGTAACGATTTGTGTACCAAAACGAATTTATTTTTTAGCCAACCTAATATAAAAATTAGGAAGAAGAAATAAGTGCTCAAATTAAGAAAAGAGGTTGAAGGACAGTGTTGCTGCGTGCTACCAAGTTTCGGCGCCCTATACGTACTGTCAAGCTGGAAAGGCTCTAAAAAGGCGCGCCCACGGTGGTGTAATTGCACGAGCTGGGGTAGTCGTTGACGAATATCCTTTATCTTTTGCTTGTCTCATCATAGGTTGAATGGTTTTCATTCAGATTCAGTTTGAGTTGATTTCGCCAATCTTATTTTGCTTCGTTATAGCCCTCTTCAACCTACCAGTTGCACAGTGGACAAATTCAATTTCGAAAAGGAGCAAGACCAATCGTGACAGAACGCAGTACCTAAACCCTCATCTGTTTTGCGCACTTTTTTTATCGGTTTTCATCGAACTTGTTCGTTATTCTTCGTATTGATATGATCAAATTGACTATCTCTTTGTTATAAAGGTTATAATGACTTCAAGCGCTATTCCTCTATTACCACTCATGAGGTCACTAGAAATTTGCAGAACAACTTGTAGCTTCACACACAGTAGATTCTACATGTATCACAAAGTTGCTGTATAGGTATGGGATTCCAAAGAGTAACATCGATAAACCGCGAAGCTGCGTGGGCATATTTTCGCTGCCTGCAACGGCGTGCGCCGTAGGCTGCGGCAGGCTGCCGCATTCTGTGGCGTGCGCGAAGCCGCCGTAGCATGCGGTATGAGTGTTAGTATGAAGGAACCCTTACGGCTGTAAACACGAATCGACTTTGTCGTTCTGCTAAGTACTAGTTTGGTGATTTCATTTTTTACAAAGACGTATGGCCACTATTTTATAGTCGAAAATATACGTTAGTAGATGATGATCGCAGGGATTATGTATGGCATAAATTTGGTATCAAATTTGCAAGTTTTAAGAGTTTGTAAATTACACTATCACATAAGTCTATCAAACTTTGATGCACTCTGTACAATTTCCCAGCTCTGAATCAAGATTTGGTCTTTCGTTTTCGAAGGCAGACAACTTTACGAGCTCCAGGAAGACAAAGCATTTACAGGAATAATAGAAAAACGCTATTGGTGACCCAGTCTATTCGTGAAGGATGAAGTCTCTTCCAAAAAAAAAATTCCATACAAAAAATAGTAAACAAGTGGACAATGTACAGCTTTCCTGTGAACTCTTTGGCGGCATAATTCATACTCGCGCATGACTTTGTACATTCCTCACAATAAGGACCGATCAATAATCCTTCCTATAGATTAAACTAAGCTGATGTTTTCCATATGGCACTTTGGCAGTTTTGAGAAACAGTGAAACAAAAGAGAATTTGATTGAACCGTGAACAGTTTTCGGGACCAGTAGTGTATTGCGCTCTTACTCTTTTGACAGCTCTTTCACATATGGCTCTGCCATGAGCGACTGGAACAGTTCGGTCATCTTCTCCATGTATCACGAGGACAGGAACGCGAACATTGCAGATCTAAAGTGATAGTAGCTTTGATACGACTAAAAATTACAACTATCCTTGCGATTGTTTACCTCAACAAAATTTGGGATTCATTTCTAGACAAAAAACGGCATTGGCAGACGATTGCAAATAGTAGCACATGTAACGACGCTTTACATTTGAGTCGAAACAAAAGTTTTGTTGTACTTTACGTCCTCCAGAGGCTTCGGAATACACTCATACTCAGCATATATGACAAGGTATTGTGTAAGCTTATGAAAATGGGGATATTAAAATCATTTCCACCTTTACAAGCTTGAGTTACAGTAATACAAGGTGTCTCAGCGATATATGATATTGTTTGGTCGTCAAAAGTCTTTCCCACAGTCTATTGCCCGACATCTAGGGTAGTATTTTGTAGAGCTCTCTTTAACTTGAATATATCATGATGGAGCCACTTCGCTATCCAAGGTTGTGCTATTGCGGTGAGAAACAAAAGGGTCTCAAGGCATTTGGGATATTCTAATGAACAAAAAAACGAAATGTGCTAAAACTCTTATATCCAGCTAATCACTATAGCTAACTCTTTGCTTTTCTTGTCAGATATCTCCATGTTTTTTCTATCTTAGGCAAGGTCTTCGTGTATAACAAGTTCTCGAAAATCGGCCTTGAATCTGTCCATCCACCTCATCTTGGGTTTACTTCTGGGTCTTCTGCTGGTGCCTCCACAGCCAGGGCTAACTTTGTGAGGCTTTCATCCCTTCTGCGCAAATGCTCATACCATCGTAACCTTTTTGCTGCATTTTCTGGGCAAATGAAGTTACTTTTATCTGCGCTCTTACACTGTCATTGCAGATGCGATCCTTCAGTGGCTCCTAGGGTCCATCGTAGCATCCTTGTTTCCATGACACTGAGCTTGCGCTCCTCGTTCCACGTACAAGGCCAACACTCACTGCCATAAAGTGTTGTTGGACGAATAACGGTCCGGTACAGTTGGGAATTGAGATGCACTGGCATTTTTGTCGCACATGACTCCTGTCAAGGCTCTCTATTTCATCCATGCTGTGTTCATCCTGTCTGAGACCTCCTTTGTAGCATCCTTCAACTGAGATGTGACCACCTAGGTACTTGTATGATGTTATCTTCTTTGGTACTTCACCATCGACGCTTATGGTGCTAGGATTTTGGTTTCCCCCACTTTTATATATTCTGTCTTCCTAGTGTTGAGCTTCAGGCTACACAACTATAGAGTGTCTTTTTCCCGCTTTGTACCTCGTCTTGTAGCTCCTTTTTGGTATTTGTTATCAAGACCACATCATCTGCGTAGAAAACTATTCAAAGAGGTTCTTGTCCGAGCGACTCCATCACGGCTTTCATCACAGTGATGAAGAGCAAGGGAGAGACAACTGAACCTTGGTGTACACCAGCCATTTGGAATTTCTTCGATCGCCCTGCAGCTGTTTGCACATTGCTTGAAGCGGTGTGGTAGATCAACCTTATCCACTAAACATATTTCTCTGACCTTGTGTTTTCGTAAGACTCACCGTATGGAAGTCGTACTACAACTTCAAAAAACACCTTATCAAAAGCTTTCTCCAGGTCCAGTTGTAAACTCTGTATTTCTACATCACTAGCCGAATGAAATGGATGGCGCCGGTTGTAACTGCTTCGTTCAAAAATCTGCACTGATTCGTGACAATTCTATGATATCTCGAAGACGCGTTTCGGTTAATCGCTTGGATGTTTTTAGAGTGTAGCTCATCAGTCATATTAGTCGGTAGGATGCTCAGTCTACTATGTCTCCTTTACTCTTCCATATCGGGATCGCTATGCTAATCGTGCTAGCTGTACCAGTCGCAAAGCATATTCTTGCTCCTTATGATTTGATTGAGGAGATTCGCTAGCCATGTGGCTCCGGAATGTCCACATATTTTCCAGAAGTCGCTAGATATGTCGTCTGGACCAGTCGTTTTGCAATTTTTTTCTTTTTCTTACAGCTAGAAATAATTCCTTGTTCGTGAGTGCTGGTACTGGTCCTTGACTGTGTGACTGCTTCTGGGATGGAGTTGATGTTGCGACCCGTGGTGACCATCTCTTCAATGTAGATTCTCAACCTTTCGGTGATGTCCTCTGGTTTTTTAGCGTCCTACCAAGTTCGTCTTTGATGAGGAAGTGTTCTACATCTTTTGTAAATTCCGCTCTTCTTCTCCTATCCGTTATATCGCACGTTCTCCCTCGCGAAACTCTAGTTGATTGTAGAGCTCTTTCATGTACACCTGTTTTGCCTTCTTTACAGAAGCTTTCGTCGCCTTCTTCTTCTTCCTGAACAACCAACAACTTTGTACTTCCCAAAATCATGTGTGCCACTTCTGGACTCGATCTTTCAAGCTCGCCCAAAATTCCTTTGGGTTCTCTTGTGAGCTTGTAGAGTTGTTAGCAGTTCTTGTTTCGCCGCGTTGTTGGTTTTCAATCTCAATCATTCAATGCGTGTCCTGGTCTCTGTGACTCTCCTTATTTGCCTATCCGTTATTATTTTAATGTCGAGAAGGCAGTGGACTATGCTGAGATATGCAGTTTTCTCCGGAAAACTTTGCAGTCCTTCACGTTATTCAGGTCACGCTGTCGGATAATCTAGATGTCTGTGTTCGTCGATCGCCACTCACATATGTCATGGGGTGGTCATTCTTCCTGATGTAATATTGTTCGCCAAGACGAGGTCATGAGCTGAGGTGCATTCCAGAATGCGCTCATCCTCTTCATTGCATGTTCCGTATCCGTGGCCTCAGGCCTCCGTGACATTTCCCGGTTTTTCCTCGCGTTGCTCTCATATGTCTGTTGAGTTCCGCTCCTAGCAGGAGTGTCTCTTCCAAAGTAATTGAACTGAAATGGTCATCCAGCTCCTGCCAGAACACGTCCTTTTCATCGTCCTCACATCAAACTTGTGGCGCATAGGCGCGATTACGTAGTACCTGTTTCCGAGTATCTATGTTTATGCTCATTAGACGATCGTTTATCCGCTTCCCTACAACGTAAACTACCTTAAAGTCTCCGGGACAGCTATGCCAACCTGGTGCCAACCGTTCCTGGTGCGGGTGACACCGTTGTAGGGAAGCTCATATCCATGTCCGATGTCGCGCAACTTTGCCCCGCTCCACTTCTTTTCCCTATGCAGGCTACATCGACTACCGTTTTTCCAGAAGATCTGCTAACTCTTGCGAAAGAGAAGTACCCATATTGTTGGTATCTAGACGAGGAGTCTGCGATGCCTTGGATCGTTGCCTCTGGTGAAGTAGCCGCTTTAGCCATCCCCTTTCACCTTGCTAAGACGTTAGCCCTCGGCCTCTATGCACTTGTGGCTCGAGTGCGCGTCGCTTCCGGGCGGTGCCCTAGCCTTTACTTGAGTCATTATACGAGACATGTCCGCATTTTTGATGCGACGGGATATTTTTCAGCCGGCTTCTCGCAGGCCCTTCTTTGGAAAGGCACGGCGCTGGAATTGCGAGAGAAATTGCCACAGAAATTAGGCTCAGTATGGAATCGGGCCCATGCACGGTGATGTTACGTAGAGCATTAACCACTAGACTACTGCCCTAGTCACGTGGCTAACTTCAAATGTGTTTTTTACACTTAAAGGTAGTGTTTCATTTGTGATTTGGCAGGCATATCTAACAGCCGTTCTTTCACAGTTTTAAAATAGATGTGATAACTTGTAATTCCAAGTAAGCTCAATGCGAGCACAATCTACTACACAATTTTCCAAAGTCATTAGGAGAATTTTTTTTTGAGAAGTCAAATTCGCAATGATAGATGTTTGCTAAAAGTTCCTCCCGTAACCGTACAGTAGAGAAAAGCAATTGATGATTCTTGCCATTTTGTAAATCTGACTGTGAGTTGAAGTAAAGGTCGTCAAAAAAAACATGGGTGAAGAGAGATACTAACACCAGTGTATTACACATCCTCTTGGGAGGCACGATCGCCGCGAAAGAAACGACGCCGTAAGCGAAATCAGCCGTAGAAGAGCTACCGTAACGCTACTTAAGAAGCCACGTGTCTGTCCTCCTCATCCCCCTAGTTTGTGCTGCCACTTTAGCGGCAAAGATTTCTATTGCACAAAGTTTGGGCGCGGCACAAGCGGGAATGCAGCGGTTTAGCACGGTATGGCTCCCGACGTGAAGCCCTTTTGGGACACCTGTACTGGGCTTCTGTAATGTCCCTCCATCCTTATTTGCTCTTTTTTGAAATTACCTCATTTTCTCATGCTTCCGATTTTTCAAAAGTTTTCGAAGGCATCATTGCTTGGAAGAAGTGTTAAAGCTTAAGCTGTCCAATTATGCAAGTTTGCCAAACATATGTTGAAGTATTTTCGGAATTTGATTTTTTTAATGATTTCGACCTTGATTTTTCATGTGTAGTTACTTCGCGATGTGTCAGAATATTTTGCAACTTTGCACACGAGAGATGGTTTCAAAAAATTGGTAGAAATGAGGTTGGCCAAGACTTGCAGCCACTTTTTCTTAATCGCCTTTGTGTAGTCTTTAAACTTCCGATACTCGTGCTACGGATGTATCCATAATTGCTTGAATATGCCGGGTGGAGGACATTAGGTCGCCGAATTTGGAAGAGTCCCGCGCAGATTCCCTGCAGGCACGCATGTCCGCGTATGTACAAGGGTGCGCATTTGTCGCAAATGACCGCTGGGACCGCCCTCTTTCGGCGACCTAATGTCCTCCACCCGAATATGCCCGATAATCAGCTTCACCATAATACAAAAAAAAGAGGCTGTATGATCCAAATTGGTTGACCGCAAGTTGACTGTGAAAATCGAAAAAAATCGTTAGATTTTGGACAAGTAAATGACTTGTACATGCTCTTAAAAAAAGATTTACCAATTACTTCCTTGGAGTAAATCAATTTGTATGACAGAAATAGCATTTTGGCTTAAATTCAACTTGGCTGTCACTGCCCGGATTTGGCGCACTTTGCAGCTTAGAAGTTTGGCGCGGCGGTTCCCAAGAGACTCTCAAACTCACTGACCAGGTTGTTACTACAAAGACTAACGCTTGGTTGAAGCTTCTAAAGTTTCACGAAATGATGAAACTGTTTTTGCCTTAGAAAAACTCATGCGATTTTTGCATTAAAGAAAACTGCGATGTACCAATAGAAATTGTTAGGTGTGCAGACCACGCAGGCTTTTCTATGGCAAAAATAGTTCCATCATTTCTGTGAAACTCTGAAAGCTTCAACCAAACGTTTTTCTTTGTAGCAACAACCTTGTCAGTCAGTTTTAGTTTCTTGTGAACCGCCGCGCCAAACTTTCGAGCTGCAAACTGCGTCAAGTCCGAGCAGATGTGACAGTCAAGTTGAATTTAAGCCACTAATGCTATTTTCATAACACAATCTGAACTCCACACGAATAACTGATAATACTTCTTATAAGAGCATGTACAAGTCATTGACTTGTCCAGAATCTAACGATTTTTTTAGTTTTCGTAGTCAACTTGCGTTCAACCAGTTTGGATCATACTGCCTCTTTTTTTTGTAGTATGGTGAAGCTGATTATCGAGCACATTCAAGCAATTATGAAAACATCCTAGCACGAATATGGGAAGTTTAGAGACTACACAAAGACGATTAACAAAAAGTGGCTGCAAGTTCTGGCCAAACTTACTTCTGCTAATTTTCTAAAATCACCTCTCGTGTGCATCAAGTCGCAAGATATTCTGACACATTGCAAAATAGAGTAATTTGCAACTAACAACTATCATTTGAATTCATTATGTAGAATGCGAAGAATGAATTATAGCTATTCTTCGGAGTGGCTGCAAACTTTTGGCCAGCACTGCATACATCAAAGTCAAATTTTTGAAAAATTTTAGGATCCTAAATCGTTATAAGGTTTGTCTCCACATAACTTCGAACCAAGAAAAACTTTCTGAACAATCATGAGATTTGTTTCTTTAGGAATAAATTTTATGTCTAATACTGTGCATTCCAGAAAGGAAAGGAAAATTGGTGCTTTTGTACTCTCACCTGTTCATAGATAGAAAATCGATCTGCACAGCACGAATGAGTTTTGAACGGTTTCTTGAAGCATGCTCTCTCCCAAAACAGTACTCTAAGCAATGATGTTGGTGGAGCTTGTAAAATGATTCCTGTAATGAGCAAGGAAGATTTTGAACAAAGTTAAATCACGAAGTAAAAGCGAAGTGAAGAATCAAGGAATCTGTAACACCGAGACGATAAGCGAGCAGATCTCACAAGAAAGATCAGCCAGCTTAACAAATCCGTGTTCATTCTATTCAAATTTGTCTTATTGTTTCGTGCTCATGTTTATCTAAGCCGCAGAATGATGTGCAGTAATTACCTATGACAGTCTGTAGATCTTCATGTAATCACTTTGCTACAGTCAAAGAAAATCTGGCTTTATTGCCTTAGTTTTATGAGTGTTGTCAAAACAAGTGCTTTATACCTGCGGGAGGTTCGGAGATTGCACATGCCAAGTGAACGGTAGCAAAGCAGCCAATCGAGTAGCCAAGCAAGACAATGTCCTTAGAAAGCAGATCCCTCTCATTCACAAGATGCTGAAGAGATTTGAGTTAATCCAAAATGCTTTACTTTTTAGAATTCTTGAAGCAACATTTAAGGTGCGCCAAAACTGCGGAAGAAAACTGTTTAAAATTGACTGCCTGAAATTATAATAAAATGCCTTCAAGTTTAGAATGTTATGGAACGATTGGCTTTTTCGAGGTCGGGTGGCTCCAATAAGCACTATTGGATTGTGCTGCTCCTGCAGATTACCGAGCGCTAAAAACGAACTGGAGAATCTTTTTCGAAAAAGATAGAAGAGCTGGTGAATTCTGGAAAAATCGTGTTGTTTCAAATTTTGCCCACTGTAACCCTAGAATGGGAAGCTCTCCTGCTAAGCAGATGTGCTTTTCGTAATCAGCAGGTCAGATAACCTCTATGAGCAAGTTTTCAAAGAAATTCGGGTGATTTGATTTTTTCTTGTTCTACGCCCTGAAGCTCGCCGATGGGTTTTGGTCATGTCGATGATCTTGGATTATAAGGAAACTTCGCTCAAAGAGGTTAACTGACCTGCTGATTACGAAAAGCACATCTGCTTAGCAGGAGAGCTTCCCATTTTAGGGTTACAGTGGGCAAAATTTGAAACAACACGATTTTTCCAGAATTCACCAGCTCTTCTATCTTTTTCGAAAAAGATTCTCCAGTTCGTTTTTAGCGCTCGGTAATCTGCGGGAGCAGCACAATCCAATAGTGCTTATTGGAGTCTTTTATGTTTGATGTGCGCTTCGTTGCGACCTTGCGAATATACGCGCGCAGAAAATTTTGAAAAAATTGAAAATGGAATTTCAAGGACATGCTGTATACCGAAAGATTCGCCTTAACGAGCTGAACACAATACTGTTTTCGGATTTCGAAGATGTTCATTCAAGGAAGTTACGGCTAGTAGAACTTAGAACAGCTTGATTTTTCCAGAGTTTATCAGCTCTTCTATCTCTTTTAAAAGAGAGTCTTCGACTGCTGTTTAGCGCAGAATAATCTACTGAAAGAGTGCTATCGAAGGGTGCCCGCCTCAATCTCCTATGTGTGATGCTTCTTGCGTTACACCCACGCGAAAAGGCGTCCGCCTGCAGATTCAAGATTATTGAAAAGAGAATATTGGAGACAACCTGTATACCAAAAGATTCGCCTTGACGAGCTGAATACAATGCTGTTTTCGGATTTTGAATATACTCATTCGGAACGAAGTTATGGCCCTGCGTAATTTGCGTGATTTACATGAATTTCGCGAAATTTCGGGAATGTCGCGAAATTCCGGGAATGTCGCAAAATTCCCGGAATTTCGCGAACCTTCGCGGAATTCTCGGAATTCTGCGACATTTACGGAGATTTTGCACATTCTGTGAGCGGTATTGTAGCTACCTATCGTTGACTCAAATCAGAGAATCATTATTCGCATATTTTGGCCTCAATTTGTTTAGCCTCATTTCATGCGTATAGGACGCGGGGTATTTTTTTCTAAAATCGAACAGCACAGACACGCCGAAGGACTCCGCGACCAATAAATTATTTATAGTGCCGCATATTGCCTGAGAGTATCGTGCGGCGTAAGTCTCGTTTTCCGAAACACAATGAGGCGGCTGAGCGGCAGGCTTGGAAAACCGAAAAAAGGTGCGTCTTATACCCGTGAAATTAGGGTATTTTACACAGCATTTACATTATATTAGGTTGTTACATAAGTCTTGTTACACTTAACTTCTAACGGCGATAAGTCATACACCTCATAGCCTTTGCAGGACTCCAAGGTATCATTCGATAGAGCAAAGCAAGCTCTACAAAATGGTCTGCAAAAGTTCGCACCAGCTCCGACCCACCGTAAGTTTGCACCCAAAATCTGAGTCGTACTGAAATTCAAAAAATCGCGAAAAATTCTTATCTTTGTTCAAACAAATCCTACGGATCTCCAACTTGCTCAAAAAATTGCACACTATATCAAACACTCACATGTACCGTTGCTGTATTTTTTCCTTATCTAGAAATCGAGAAAAAGAATTTTTTTTGATTTTTACAAAAATGAAGCTATGCTGTTTCTGTTCATGTAGCTGTATACTACAAGCTCTTAGAAGTATGACCGTAAATTTTCAGCTTCCCAGAAGCCCTAGTTTTCGAGAAATATCAAATTCAGCTTCAATCATTCGGGTGTTCAATGCTAAATTAGGTATTTCTCGAAAACTAGGGCTTCTGGGAAGCTGAAAATTTACGGTCATACTTCTAAGAGCTCGTAATATACAGCTACATGAATAGAAACAGCATAGCTTCGTTTTTGTAAAAATTAGAAAAAATTCTTTTTCTCGATTTCTAGATAAGGAAAAAATACAGCAACAGTACATATGAGTGTTTGATATAGTGTGCAATTTTTTTGAGCAAGTTGGAGATCCGTAGGATTTGTTTGAACAAAGATATGAATTTTTCGCGATTTTTTGAATTTCAGTACGACTCAGATTTTGGGTGCAAACTTACGGTGGGTCGGAGCTGGTGCGAACTTTTGCAGACCATTTTGTAGAGCTTGCTTTGCTCTATCGAATGGTACCTTGGAGTCCTGCAAAGGCTATGAGGTGTATGACTTATCTCCGTTAGAAGTTAAGTGTAACAAGACTTATGTAACAACCTAATATATTAGTAGAAGCTGGTATCCCAATAGGGATGCCAGCTTCTACTAATATATAATATAAATGGTCCCGAGAGATCAAGCACGATAGACTGGCTCCAACGGCTCAGATAACCGTTGAGGGCAGGCGGTCCGCAAACTCGCGCTTTTCTGCAAGCGGTCAGCAGAATTTTGGGGCGTGGACGAACCTTCTGCGAGCAGTACCTCCTCTACTGTCTAATGTTCTGTCAGCGGGCAGCAACACAGAATGTTCTGCAGGCGCTCGTCAAATGATATCTTTCAGCGAGCGCCGGTCAAATTTTCTGCTGGCGCTCCGACGGTTTTTAAGCAGTTTCGGGCGTACGCCGAGCAAAGGTGAGACTCAACATGGCAGAGGTGTCATCGATGGTTTAATTACTCAAGTTTGAGGTACTTTCTCTCAGCGGAAAGTACCCGAAGGCTGCGCGGTCCTCCACAACGAACCGTGCGGTCCTCGAAAAATTGCATATTCTCGCGGAAAGTCCGCGAGAATGCGGCCACTGCGCCGCAGCTAATCTGTAAGGCCCCGGGCAGACTTCACGCGATTTGATCGTCGCGACTGAATGGCGACGAGACAACTGTTACAACATCATTCTATGCCGATCAACTTGCATTCGGTTGTGATACTTTTCCAGCCCGAAATTTTTGAATGTGAAATGAAAATGAATGGAAATCTTGGCGATTACATCGCGACGATTAAGTCGCGTGAAGTCTGGCCGGGGCCTAAGGAAACCGCATATTCTCCAAGCATTCGTCTTGAATTTTGCTGAAACTTCTCCAAATATCTGCAAGCGGACCGCAAGAAATCAGCGAACTATTTTTCCGGTGCTCGCCCGCCCATAAATCGCATGCCGCCTGCCCCCGGCGATTTATCTGAGGGGATTTCACCCCGTTGGAGCCAGTTTATCGTGCTTGACCTCTCCTGCAGAGAAAGTTATCCTTCTTTTAATTCCGACTCGTCCTGGGTTCGCTCAATACCGCCCTTACCATGTCTTGATGACCAGCAGATCAAAATAAGCTTCACCGCTCATCCTTCGCGACTATGGGGAATGTGCACAAACATACAAATTTTCTGCTATATATATAGAGATATTATTCGCTACCGACGGCCAGCGGCTGCTGCGGCCCTTTATATTGCGTCGGTAGGGTCAGCCTGTAACCGCCGTTACCGCCCGCAGCCTGTAGCAGCTGCTAGTCCCGTGTTGCCGTTAGCCGCATTTGTTATCATGAGAGCGCGAAATTATCAGATTTCCGCTTCACTCCCAACCGCCTTCGCCTCTCCTTCCCATGCTTTTTTTAATTCTCGCTAATGCGCAGTTTGACTACCATACATCACATTTGTACTCTCCATTACCTGGTTGCTTTTAAAGCCTGAGTATGCTATCGGTGACCAATTTCTTAATTGCTCACTGTCTTGTTTATGACTAACTCGCAAAATTAAGATCCCTGCCAGTCGCATTGACTGAAGTTTATCCGCATGTAACTCTTTTCGAATGGATGGCTCTTTCCAGGTGTGCTTTGTGTTTCTTTATCTTTGATTTATGTCTCTGAACAATCTTTTATGTATCATGCTTTATCTGAAACAATCTTTACACTCTTCTTTTTACTTCAAGCCTTTGCGAAACCAATATACCTCCACGCAATGCCTATGAATGCTACTCGAGAGCATATTCTATGAGAAGTTGTGATTACTAAAAGGCATGATTTGTCATTTGGCTTTGAGCGATGAAGTAGATCAAAAGCAAGAGTGTATATGGCCCACAAAAAAGGATACTTGGTCGAAGTGGCGCTTCCAAATGTCCCATACAGGGTGCCCCAAAAGTAAGTACACACTTTTCAATCTGTATCTCTATATATATAGAACTCAAAGTGTGTTTGTCTGTTAATAAGTATGTTTTTTATACAAATCTTTCTGAGTGGGCCAAATGAGCTGAAACTTTGCACACTTATGTTTTCGACCCCGGCGCAGAACATAGGCTACTTTTCGCAACAATTCACTCCGTCCCTCCATCGCTTTATTGATTTGTTTACTTACATCTGTGAAAATGAAACCTTACAGTGGCTACAAAGTCATTTCTATGAGTTACTGTGTATCGCAGCGGTAAGTCTCATTCTATGTTTCTGCAAGCGAAGCGCGGTCAAAAGAAGTGTACTTGAAGTAGGTTTTTGTATACTCGAAAAGATGTTGTATGGAAGTTACTTGATGTGTTAGATGTTTCCTTAGTCAATCAAGTTGTAACGTTTTCTCAAAACATACTCCGCAGCGCGAATGTGTGAAAGGCAGTAGGTAATGGTACTGTACATCCGTTTCCCGATCGATTATTGATGACAAAAAACTAAAGCTTTTTTGAACACTATGTAAGATTTAACTGAGGACTTAGTTGAAAACAACAATGTCTTTGTTATGGAAGATGCGGAAGGGTGTTTAAGTCGGTCATAGTAGTCATCTTAGAACCGAGAAAATAAGCTAAACTCACTTTGACATTTCCTTTGAGGAAAGTAATTCAAAAACTGGGCAGAATTGATGTTCCCATGGATTGAGCGAGGAAGCAATGTGGAATGGATAGTGCAGGACAACCAGTTAGCGGGAAGACAAGATAGAAAGTAATTTTCAACATTGTAATTCGTGATATGCTAATCTATCATATCCATTCTACAACAAATGCTTACGCGTACAATCGTGAGAGCCGAGCAATCCTGATGAGAGAGTTAGATAGGACTCAGCAGCTTTAGTGCTCCTTCATAATCTATTTATGCATTTCTCTTCGCAACCTGTTTAGAATAAAGTGTATTGTGATTGCACTGATTGGTCATCTTGCCAGCGGACGTTCGCAATTTAGACAAAGAAAAAAAACTAATCCCAGACGAAAGTGAATTTGGGGGGTCAGAACTCGGCTTCATTAGCCGCAAAGCGAATAAAGCACAATGTTTACAGCGGTGAAGATACGCATGCGCTGTCGCGCTCGCATATCTAGAAGTGCTTTTGCTCTTTTGCCGAGCAGTAGCCTTCACTAAGCCTTACAAAAGGCGGAAGGACCACAAAAAGCTTTGAGTCTGACAAAGCAAGGCTACATGTCAACTGAAATAGCCGGGCAAGACCGGGTACACCAGCTAGTATATATATATTATAATAACGGGCTAAGCGTTGTTTACGTCTTTTTGTACGTGTGTATGTGTGTGTGTCTGTCTGTCCGTTACGAAATTCGTAGAGCGTGTTCCAGCCAGTGTTCTGAGCCAAAATTTTGCATAGCGCATGCTTCCTTTATGAAAGCCTAACATGCAAGAGCACGAGTAGATTCGTTGAGTGGATCGCTCAGAAATTGCGCGCCAAAGGGATCCACCTGGCTTCTGTCCCGCAAATTTGGGTCCGTATCACCACTTTTTGCAAAGTCGCGGGTGTGTTTGGCTAGCCAATGTGCAAACGATGGACTTTGGCCCAAAAAGTGGTCAAAAGTTTACTACATAACGAAAACGGCGCCAAAAAGAATTGCTTGCGTAAATGGTCAATTTGCCAAGGTTCTAGCCAAGCATTTCAGAAGATTTTTGCACAGAGATGTAGCTCACGATTACTATTGCCTTTATGGCTACTACCAATCCATGACAAATTGAAAAACTTATTCAAATTTGCATTTGTCTTCCTGTGAAAAGTTTCATCCACGCGAAATCACCGATCTCACGCGAAAAAGCTTTTTGAATGAGTAGTTGTTTACATTTTATTCGTGGTAGTCGGCATAGCGCGGTAAGTTCCAGTGCCACAATTCTACGAGAATGAGTAAGGCACATAGATAGTAGGGCCAGTGCGAGCCTCTGCGAAGCAGAGGTGACGCACTGGTATATATAAAACTCAATGTCTGTGAGGATGTTCGTTTAGTTGTTCGTTCGTTATAGAAACGCCAGCCATTGAACCGATTGAGTTAAAACTTCGCACATATATGTTTTCGACCCCGGCGGTGGTTTGTGGTTACTTTTTGAGGCGACTCGCAGGGTCCTTCCATTGATATATTGATTTGTTTTCTTAAATCTGGGAAAATGAATGTTAGACGTGCTCCAACCAGTCATTTTCCAATAAACATGTAAGTAGGTATAGTAAAGTTCATTCTGATCTCGAGGTTGACAGGATGCAGCGGATTCGTCTCAAAGCGTTTTTTGCGCATTGTAGAAGATAGAAAGTGTAAGTATGATCAGCTTCCAGATTGTGGAGGCGGGCTGCGGACTTTACTGGTTTTAAGGAAAGCTCAACGAGAAAGTACGAAAGACAGTGCTAAAACGTGGAGGTTTAACAAGTTTGTCCTTAAAATCAAGGAAGTGCGCAACCCTCCGCTACACGAATCTGGGAGCCGAACATTTTGGTGGGTAGGGGAACAAACTCCGCCAGTTTGAGCCCTCCTTTGCTGGCAACTGGTCCTTTTGCAATGTTGTTGTTTGTGGTTGCAAGACCAGTAATCCGCGGAGATGTTTCAAACTGGCGGATTTCGTTCCCCTACCGCATCTTGGTTGAATTAAAAGTCTCGGGCGAGACCGGGTCATCAGCTAGTTGTTAATATCTCTCTTCCCGTTGCGTATTTTTTCGCCATTCAAGTATCTTCCTGTAGAGGAGGCTTCAACTTAGATTTACAGTATCGAGCAAATTACCGATCCTCTTCATTACTGTAGGATTACTGTGGGAACTTCGACAAGAATTTTAGGCCATTGAGAGCCATATTCTGCCTCGGAAGAAATTCAAACAAGACTTCCACTTTACTGTGATGCTTCTTTCCACAGCTATCCCAGGCAAACCGTAATAAGCGAATTCCCAATATTTGTCAGAAATGTGATTAAACCGTCAAAAAAGCTGGAAACACCCGTAAAAAGTTGTGTGGTGGAATCAGCAAGCGCGAAAACCTTGGTAAACGATTTTTTAGATTTTTTGAAAAAAATTTTGTCAGACATGTTTCACAATGGATCCACATGCTGGAAGTACTAACCGTAATCCTACAGTAACAAAGAGCGATCGGTAGTTCGATCGATACCGTAAGCCTAAGTTGAAGCCTCTTCTACAGAAAGGTACTTACTTGGCAAAAAAAGATCCATTGGGAAGAGAGATATTGAGGATTGAAAAGTGTGTACTTACTCTTTTGTGACACCCTGCATACCATCCTATAGAGCATAAAACGCTGATTTCGGATCTGCCTTCAATATCTGCAAGCTTCCTGAGAGGGGCGTTATGGGGATTATTCAAAGAATAAATTCAATCGCACTTACAAGAAAATCCGTTAAAACTGTAGTCTGTGTGCTCAAATGGGGCCATGATTACCGCCAGGACGCTTTATGCAATTGAAATTTTAGTCTAATGAACTCATGCTACTCATTACCCCTTTCAGGCGCTCGAAAGACCTTAACGCCTGTTTTTACCTTTGCGAAACTACCGAGTTATTACTTCGAGATATTCCCATGACTTCCTCCCAGAAGGGCTTTTGGAATTAGCGTTCCATGCTCTAAAAAAGATCATCCACTTCATACGGAAACACCACTTCAAACAAGTACCCTCTTGTCAGATGGAAGATGAAGGCAAAAGCTAGCGAAACAGGATACTCTGCTGTAAAACAATGGGAAATACTGGGAAATATGCTGGTACTGAAAGGACGCAATAAATATCTCATATGATAATTTTGCATGCCGATATTGAAATCGTGAGCAGTTTAAGAGAAATTAATTACGAAGCGTGGGAATCGGCTGCCTTCTTAGCTAAATAAAAGAGCAGTACCCATGGGTACTCGTCTTCACTTTCTGAGTTGCCAGAAGAGAAGCAACTATGAAATTTGTAGTGACGAAGTACTTTTATGATTCACTATTGCATTTCTGATTGAGCTATGGTTTCGACATTCATTTTCATTAGTTTAAAGTATTTTCATTGAAACGTATAAACACACTAACTCATTACATTAGAAGTTCAAGAGTAGCTATGTTGGTAAGTGACAAAAAAACATTGTTCAAAAATGGAAAATTCAACCCTAGAGTTTTCTTTTGATCGTGTAATTAGTAAAATGAATCGTACTACACGTCATTCTTTGTGGACTAAATTTGCAGTGACTCACATCGTAGACTGCCCTAATGTCGGCTTTCTGATTTGACTCGCTTGGATGCCCTGTACTTATTCCATATCCACTATAATCATATGAGTAAACATCGCACTTGTGAAATCTGCAAAGAATTGCCCTAGATTCTGCTGATTCTCCTAATTCACAAACCGTGCTATGTCCGATAGGTTTGGAACTCCTAGGAGATGATCACTAAGGTCGCTGGCATTGGGATGTGAGTAGAGTATCGAATATCTGCTTACGCCTGGTGCACGAATTCGCACGCACGCTATGTACTGAAATTTCAGAAATGACATGGAGGAGAACGGCTCACTCAAGATGGGCTTGATTCTAAGGTGATTGATACGTGTATGAACGCATCTGATGATTTGCTTCAGGCTTGCTTTTGGGAAGGACTAAAAGATGATATTATGGTTGTTTTATCTACAACAATAAGGTTAGAACACCGCAATCTTTATCAGATCAAAAAATTCACATAAGTTTTGTGCAGCATGAGTAATATTCAAAAGGTATCATTACAATGCAGTAATCAAGATTTTCCGAAACCAACAAATGTCGCTTTCAGAGAATATACAATAACGACTTGGTTCTTCTCAGTTTTGCTGTCCAAACTTAGTAAACAATTTAAGTTTGCCCCAAACTAGGGTCAAGCGTGGTGATGTGATCCGGGACCCTCATTTACGACTCCCCTCCCTAAAAGTGCCCATCCGTACGCGTATTGGGTAAGTAGTAAAATTTTACAAATTGGCCATGGTTATTGTGGGAAAATATGAATGGAAAGGAAATTATCTGACAGAGCAGAACATCGACTTTGATTTGAATGGTGTTTAAGCTGTACTCTACCTATAAAAAATTAATTAAAATAACAACCAAGAAAAATTCAGCACAACGGAACGGTTCACTTCAGTCATTATAATTGACTATTTTATGATAATATCTTTTCTAGTGAAGGTTAATAAACTTTTTTGTTGTTTATAAATGTTCGGCATAATCCTTTCATGGTCCAATAGCAACGAAAGGTAGAGACCATGGTTTTGGAAATTAGAACGTTTTACACTTTAACGACAGTCCCGTGTGCTATCCCCGTACGCGACAGTATTTTTTTTGTACGGAGAAAAAACGATATCTTTGAAGCGTAAAAACTGTTTTCGACTAGAATAATTACTTTCTATTTATTACACAGGTTTTCCTGCAAAAAAACTGTTTTGGCGCCTTCCAGAACGATGCTAAAAACGTGCATGAGACGGTACTTTGAAAATTCGTAACTAAGGTCAGGGAAAGACTGAGAGGTTGTAATGAATAGTCTGTGTAGTATTCTGCCCGTACTATCCATGGAAAAAGCTTCAGCCACTGAGAATCGGTGAGCGCGAAAAAATCTAGATGCGACTTTCGCAAATTTAGATGCGACCTAAGAGCAAAAACTGGGGTTTTTAAGCTTGAAATTTTGTAACTCACCGGAGAGGTTACGAAACAGCCTTAAATTGTTATGATAGAAAGTAGGAGGATGGCCTCGTAATACAGCAATTGCAGCAAGCAGGCCTCCATAGCGGCGAAAAAGTTTAGATGCGACCCAGATACGACCCCCTTTTTTTCATTTTTTTTTGCCGTGTATAAAATTTTGAAAAAATCCTCAGACTGTGAATTATAACCAGATTTTGCACAACTGTAGCAGAGCATCTTCAAAGTACAGGCAAATTGTATGGGCCTTTGAAAGACATAACAAAAAAGTTCTGAAAATTATCGATGCCCATCGCTGGTAGAGATGAGAGCTTTTGTCGAGAGTGTGAGACTTCAGTGATGCTTTGGAACCAGGATTTCTAGACCAATTGGCACATTTGACATTCTTGTCACTCATACATGCCTAGTGTTAGCTTCCGAAAGTGTCTTCGGAATCTTCGTTCATGCTTGTGGCCAGCAAGTTCGATCCCCTTTTGCGACACCTTTTTTGCAGGGAGATGTTTGCGACTAAGAAACTACACTTAAAAAAAACTAAACTAAACTAAACTAAGAAACTAAACTTCCTACACTCCCCACTTTTTTAACTCGGACCACTCTCTCTTACGCCCCCCCCCCCACCACCAGTGCCGCCTTTAGGACCCCCCCCCCCCTTGAGACAGTCGCATCACACGCTTGACCCTGCCCCAAACCCAATCAAGCCAAATTTGGCATGGCGGCAGTCCGCGTCTTGCGTCACGCTTGCGACCTGCTTGTCTGCTCTCTCTGCATCGCTATGAAGCGCTATTTGCCTGTATATTAGGAATCGTTGTGCCTATCAAAAAAGGTGAAATTGCGGAAACCGAGCGGTTTTCGCAGCAAACGCGATTGCAAATCTAGCATCTTTAGGCCTTTAGGACTAGTGGTTTCACTAGTATAAGTCGAAAGTTTGAATATGATGCCTACATCATTCCTGCAAATTTTCTCTTCGTCAATTTACCACTCCAACTCTCTTGCCTTTCTCTTTCTCCTAAAACCTACACCACTCATAAAAACCACTTCTCCTTATTTTACTCCTGCAACCTGTGCCCCAGCCAATAAGATGGAACAAATTCTTTTAGCTTTGAATACATACATTTTTTCAAATTTCATCGAGCACTGAGATACGTCGCAAAGGAATAATATCAAAAGATTACCGAGAAACATTTGTTACGTATAAAGATCCCGCGCAACGAGTTGGCTTTGCCCTACTTCACTACCGCGTTACCGCGGAGAAAAAGGCCCGTAGTAAACTTTTGTCCGGCCCACTTCGGCTGGGGCGGGCCTGCGTTGAACGTGAAGCGTCTCAGTCCGGCGTCCAGTGAGCTATTGATAGGATACGGATCGCTTTCTAAAGGTAAAGATCATGTGCGTTCTCAAAAAGGAATCTTTTGAGTAGGTTCGGTCGAACGGCTAAATGATTAGGATTTGAAGCGCGGTGCCATGGTTCGAGACCGGTCAGCGGCAATAAATCAGTGATGACCGCTATTAAGGATATCGCTTAGCAAATGAACAGATAAAACAAAACTAAAATATTTTGAAGATTTCATGAAAAACTGAATTTTTTGGAGCATAATTAGAATGAAATAAATAGATAGATTATTTTAAAATGCAGCTTTTTCGAGAAATAAGCCTGCTCAGCAAAAAATGGAAAAACCTATTTTCTTGTTTTCTCCGAAATCAGCTTTCCTCGATCCTTTACTTTGGGCACCGGTATTTGGCAGTTGTGCGTTCTTGTACCGCAACAACTCAGACAAAATACCGGCCGAGTGCCTCGCCAATTGAAGGCTCCCGGCCGAGCGGCTGCATTCTCCGGCCGAGCGACCTCAGCCGCCGGGCAAGCGCCCCGCAATCAGAAAGCACCGGCCGGGCGGCTACATTCACCGGCCGGGCGGCTACATTCACCGGCTGGGCGGCCGTCAACCAACCGGCTTGCCGATGTATGATCAAAAGATGCCGGGCGAGCGCGTACAACCGCCGGCCGAGCGGCATCAATGACTGGCCGACCAGCCCGCGATCAAAGCGCGGGAAATTGATGGTGTTCAAACGTTGCTGACAACCCAACATTTCACACGTCAGCACGTGCCAAAACCTGGCATGCCAGTGCTACGCTACCTTCATTCATTCATTCATTCATTCACGCTCACTCATTCTCCTTATACGTTCGTCTCTTACACTCGCCCCACTTTCATTCTTTTTTTTCCTATTAACCTTTCTTTACTATACTTTTTCAGAATGACTCTAGCGACTGGTTCTGGCGGTGATTCTGCGTACAGATGTAACATCAGGGCCCGGCACCGATGGTTTGGGGTCAAACTGGACTTCGTTTTTGGAGTTAGAAGCAACGGGGACATCGTTTTTATGAGGTCCTGGAGGAAGCGCCAAATAAACACGACGAACATGTCAGGTTTCACCAGTTGAACGTGTTCTTTTGCAAGCGCGCGAATTCAAATGCAAGACTCAAACAAGCAAATGGCTTGTTTACAGCGCACAAACAATCACATGGCTCCGAATTTGGGCTATGAGTATACAATATTACTCCAAGCTATGTTATGTAAAAAGTTCCCAAAACATGTGTCCTAATATCCGTTCTCGAATTTGTTGGTTTCTAGACCAACCACCAAACCAACTGGGCTGGTTCGGAGCATAAATATCGGAGAGTTCACATAAGTTTTGGACCTTTTTGATTTGGACGATTAGAACGGTCAAAAATCTATCATATAGTGAAGAGAGCGGATCAAACCGTTGCCTCTCCCCTTTTTTTGAGTCAAGAGTAGTATAATTCTACGCGTTGATAGATATCGCGCTCCAATCACTTGCGGTGTCCTTTGAAATATGTGGCGAAAAATGCATCGCAGGATTGTTGAGGCTACAGATTTGGTTGGCCTAGGAGATTCTCGACATTCCCAGCATCAAAATGGTATTATACCCATTGGCAGAGCCTTTGATCTACTCGAAATGTTTTCTTTTTGCTTTTTTGTTATATCACATACCTCAAAATGCGCTTTTTTCGCTTTTTGGTTGAATAAGGGTTTCCCTACTAATTTTCACGTCGAGAGGGACTTCGTAAATTTTCGCGAAGTCATGGGGGACTTCGTTTCCTAAAAACCTCCAAACAACGCGTGCCGGGCCCTGTGTAACATATGCCTGCCATTACTTTCCCTCACGTTCATAAATTGCCTTTCGGGGTTGTTTTTTCGTTGGTGCCAGTAGTATCAGTCACCATAGATCACAGTACCTCTTTTTGGTTTTCTCTACACTGCAAGAGCCGATTTTATGCAGGAAATGCCATTGAAGTGCTACCGGTGCTCCTATCAAGCAACCCGTGCCGATTCGTATGAGCATCTTAGACATTACTTTCCTGATGAGCAGCCGTCAAAGGTCGAGTTAGTGTCTCTCTTTTTCTATGCGTTCTTTCGTGAAATAATTTTTTAAGCGCTGCACATGTTATCGGAGTACTGGGAGATGTGGACTTGAGAAATGGAAAATCTGTCCAGAAGGAAGGTGCTAGTGAACTGACGACCATTAGTGGAGAGACGAAGGTACGCTGTCTCGCTTCTAATCTTTGTGATATTACCTTGTAGCCAAGCTAATTAACGCCCTCTATAAGCATTAGAAACACTCTTTAGCCCCTCAGCGAGTTTAGCGCCAGAGAAGCTTTGGAAGCCATGGTTGGACCTGAAAAAGCAATTCCGGTAAACGGTTTGTCTATAAGCCGGTAGCGCTGCCGTCGTAAATGATGAGGATGTGACCATTTTTTGAGTTTTTGCGTTATGTTCAGTAGATTTTTGAAAGAGAGCTGCCATTGTTGATTTCTTTAGTTTATAAAATTTATTTATTCCTTGTTCATGTAAATAATCTTGTGTGAGTTATGATTGGTTGTGTTTGTTAATTGTCATCTTACGTATTATAACTGAGTTCGAATAAAAATTGATATTTTGTGCCGTTGTAATTTCTGGACAAGAAATTTTTCAAATATCTATAACAATGACCGCGACAACAGCAGCAAAGACCGGGCGAGCATCCGCAATAACCGCGCCAACAGCCTCAAAGGCAGTGTTCCGGCAGATTTCGCATTTCCATCTTTTTGCATGTTTTAGGTCTTTTGGACCCGTAGATCCCGAATCTGAGCTTTAAAACGGGTAAAAAGACCTTTTTCGGGGCGTTTACTCAATTTTTGAAAAGCAGCTTGGACGAGAATTTCAATGGAAAGTTGAAAGGTCCTAGCACGAAGACCCTGGTGCCTGTAATTTTTGCTTTGGGTAGCATGCAAAATACGAGAGAGCGTCGTGGGGTCCTGCGCCGAAAGGTAAGCGAAGCCGTCCGAGCGCGCGCCGATTGGGGTTGCGCGCGCTGGCTCAAGGGCTATTTTCTCTGCCCAGGGGGAACATCAACCACCCGGACTGCGGCCTGAGGTCAGTGGGATGACCAGGAATCCCACCATAACAATATCCCCTAGGGTGCGAATCTGCCGGGACAGTGCCTTCAAAGACCGGGCGAGCATCCACAATAACCGCGCCAACAGCCTCAAAGACCGGGCGAGCATCCGCAGTGACCGCGCCAATGATCGCAAACATCGGCCGAGCGTACAACGTTTGGATTGCTGGCGGCTGAGCGCTCGCAATGACCGGGTGAGCGATCGCCGATACCGGCCGGACGCTCGCGTCCACCGGACGACCCGGAAAAGTGAAATCCGCTCGCCCGGTACTTGTAGCTGCTCGTCCGGAACTTTTGCCTGAGAATACGTCAGCTGTTGTCCCGTAAGTAATTCGCGAGTAACTTACGGAAAATTTGTCTGATCCTCCTCTTTTGCACACTATCTCTCTCTGGTCACCCTACAGTTCAACCTCGGAAAAGTGGCATTTTGTTAAACTGGCTGTGCACTTGACCGGACAACCTTCTGACTGTTCAACTGACTATAAAGCACGGGAAGATGGGCAGGATGACCTTAGGAAATTCTTCTGAATGACTCACCTCAGGTCAACTGAGAAAATGGGGGTGTACTACGGGCTAAAGAGTGTCACGCAAAAAAGTGCCAGAACCGTAACCACATAGCGACTTACGTTACCCACGCCTAACAATCAGCACAGTGCTTTTAACGCGGCTGGATACCAGCACATTTCTGTCAAGGCATTAGGTCATGTATTGAGTTCTGTCCCAAAACTCCTTTTGATTTTTTCTTCTTATTTTGCACGGTGTTTCACAAAATGTCTATATGCATTCAGAAGCTCTAAGCCTGTTCTATCAGAATATTTATTTGCTTCCTAAACCAGTGGCCGTATTTATCAACGAACCCTAAGGATTAGTTTAACCCTGGGAAGCGATTAACCCGTAATCATGAAACACGGGGTAGGCTTAACCCTGAGGGTTAAATCTACCCTGTGTTTCAATCTACCCTTGAAGGTAAATCTTACCCCGAAACGATTAACCCGTATTTATCAAAGAACCCTGAGGGTTAAACTAACCCTGGAGCGAAAACTTACGTGATTCAGGGTTAATTTAACCCTAGCTTAGAGCCAGGTTAACTCCACCCTAACACTTGATACAAACATTTACTCGCATCTAATAGTTTTATGGAAAATGATGAACGAGTATTGTAGTATTTAGTATTAGTTGTTGTTATAGTATTTAATTTTGACTTCGTTTTATGTTCAAATTCGGAGTACATGAAACACTGACTTCGCGGGAAAAAGAATTCTAGCTTTGGTGACAAATGAATGCGACGAGGAAAAATGGTTGCGCATTCCACTCTGATAAATGTCAAAACTGAAGAACCCCTTTATGACAACACGCACTAACCCCTAAAAGAGTAGCACAAGCCCGGTATACAACGAACTGCGCAAAAGTAGAACTTACACGGCACAATTGCACATGTGAAAATAAACTCACGCTGTAAGATTGGATGCTGCGCAAATATGCTAGAGATGTGTTATAAAAACTAGTGTTAAAAGCTTATTCGTTGATTATACTACTATAACAGGGAAATAATAGAAGTATAAAGTGAGTTTAGCACGTATTTAGGCATTTTGTGATGTGAGTTTGCACAGCGCACGCGTAAGTGACGCCTTAACTCTCAGGATTCGTTGATGAATACGGCCACAGGTTCGTTGATCGATACGGGTGGATCGCGTTCCGTGGTAAACCCTCCCTATGCTTGATGAATACGGCCAGTGAACCCTGAGGTTAAATTAACCCTGAAGGGTAAGTTTAACCATCAGGCTTCGTTGATGAATACGGCCACAGAATACTTGGAAAATTCTTTTAACTTTTGGAAAACCAAGGGGGGAAAAATTCATTTTCGACAACTACATCACGTTTGCACTCCAAATAAGTCGAAATGAGCATGAAACAGCTCGAAAAATCTGCCGCGTGTAAGAAACGAATGCTATAGCTACTGCAACACTTCAGGAGTGTTGTTAATTTTTGAAAGTTAATTCTGTGAAATTTAGAAAAGTCTTCATTTTAACGTCTCTTCAACGTTGGAATTGCACAATGAAGGCAGTCCTGAGAGACGCATAGTCCAGAGAAGACAAATTGGATGGTTTATGGCCACAAAATTATGGAATTCAAAGGTTAATTACTCAAAAGTACAAAGTTTGGAGGCCATACAGCTTAGGCCTAAGGCATACCTCACGCGATTTCAGTCGCTGCGCGATTCGGCACAGAAGCGACGGTTCGTAATCGGTCGTTACCGCTCTCTGTTTGACCAGGACCTGATCCGTTTGCAAGAACTTACGAAAGCTACGAGCCTATGCATTTGAAAACCGACCGCGACGAATTTGAGAAAATCTGGCAGAATGCCAAGTCGCGTGGACGTCGCGATTTGGTCAAATCGCGTGCGGTATTGTCTTAGGCCTTAGGTACGTGAGACGACGCCGCAACAAAGTCTTGCTTTGCCGACTTTTGAAAAAATGAGATCAGAAAGTCGGTAGAAGGTAGGAGCAAGCACAAACAGTGACATTACAAACATAAAAGTCCGGTGGTTTATTCTGTTTGTTGTCAAGCTTGCCGAATAAATTTTAACAATAGAAAACGAGGATATTTGGAGAGAAAAAGGATTTTTCGCCTCTCCGGATTTTTTGTTTTGGCAAAAAAAATCTTTTTCAATTTCTGCGAAGTTAGGGATGACGCATATAAATCTGTACAGAGCAAACTTAGAGCTTTCAAATGCATACTAACGTTATTTGAAATAAAGTCAATACTTTTTTGATTTGTTGTTGAACGGTGGCCAAGATTGGTATGATAACAATTTATTACTTGGCTAACGTTTCGGCGCCAACGCCGTCTTCAGAGCCTGTAACCAAAAACGTATACTTGGCGTACTTATTGAGCCCTCGTTACCGTGCGAACTTGTACCTCTAATAAATAAATAATATCTAATAATACCTCCGATAACTCGAACCCTCGTTATTCATAGAAGGTCGAACTTGGAGATTAAAGTCAATACTGTTCGGAAAAAATTGAAACAAAAAATGGGCAAGAACTTATTACACAACCTAATACATAAGTGCTCACCGAATTTTCGAGGCTGCGTTGATGCATTTCTTCCAAAACAGGACCGTTACAAGTGCAACAAGCTGCATGCAGTTACGAGTACTATGAGGATGCCATCACACGAGAAAGATGCAACTCAAGTGCAGCTATAAGCGACCTGTCCAAACCAAAACTACCTCAAACTTGCGGAAGCACTGTTCCTCTAGAAAAGCGCTGCAGTTGAAACCTCTAATTTACACATTGCATATCATCTGATGTCCTCAAACGCCTCAAAACAATGGTATCGTTTTTACCCGTCAGATTGTATCTAAGAAAGTACACTTTCCGCTCAATCAATTGGTCACCATCGAATTCAAGATACATTTCACTACGGGGCAGCCAAGGACGCATAAAATTTACATTCTTTTTCATTGTCTTAACCACGAATGCTTCTACGTCATCAATATCATCTGCGCATGGATGAACGTGGCCAATCCTCCATCCAGAGTGTTCCGTAGTTTTTCTGAAATAGATATGTCATTTGCAAACATTGCAGTTTTTCAGCCAAAAATAAAAAGTTAAGGCTGGCAAGTAACATGATGCATACCACTAGTTTCCGGTGGGCCAAAGGTGAGGCTAGAGCGCTTTTCAAATGATCTGCACGTGTTGTAAAAAGGAACAAGTGTCTTACTTCTACTTGTAAGACTACAAAATTTTTGGGTTTCGGAAAGAAAGTTATCAGATTTTCGGAGATAACTTTGGTCGGTACCAAAACTCATCCCTTCACGGCCCAAACGAGGATGACAAATATCAAGCGGAAATCGTTCTGGAGTTAAAAGCAAAAAAGATTTTATAAAAATTTATGTGTCTTTGTATATAAGCACTCGTCGACATGCTACACGACTTAAGTGTAGAAAGCATTCTGTTCGCGGGTCATCTTCAAAAATCTCAATATCGTCCCACTGAGTAGTTGAATGTCATTCATAGTGCACATTAAACGGTCTCTAGATGTATAAATGGACAAGGACTACGAGAGGCACAGTACTGTAGGAAGATTATGTAACAGAATGTTACGGCAGGTTTTTTTCTGACACAGAACCAAATACCCTATTTTCCGGCTTATAAGCCGCATCCGCCGCAGCGAACAATGACGCGAAAGCGCCTTTGAGAGTTATGCTGCAGAATGAAAACTCGGTGCGTTCTAGTACGGATAGTCATGTCCTCAGGTACTTTTTTTTACTTTCTTAGAAGTGTGTGTGCTAATCTTGGTGTCATAGGTGGGAAGAAGTCCTATACAGCCGAATTTAAACTGAAAGCAGTAGATTATGCTGCCAAGAATGGAACCGGCCAGGCTTCTCTGAGATATGCGGTCGATCGCAGGATGATACAAAAAGATGGCGAAGTGATCAGGAGAAGCTTAGAAAGTGCAAAAGAAATAAGAGAGCGTTTCGAGGACCCCCACCAAAGTGGCCAGCATTAGAAAAAGAGCTGAGTGAATGGTTTATCGAGCAAAGTGAACGAGGAAGGAGAGTTACAACCGTAAGATTGAGGGCCAAAGCTATTGAGGCAGCACAAAGGCTTGGATACGAAGACTTCACTGGTGGTGCTCACTGGTGCCATAGCTTCATGAAAAGAAAGGGATTCTCCGTCTGACAACGCACCAGCGTTGGCCAGCCACTCCCTTTAGATGCTGGAGCCAAGATGGCTAACTTCAGAAAGTTCGTGATGGACAACAGGATAAATGTGAATCCAGCAAACTTAGAAAACTTTGATGAGGTATCCGTTCCCTACGATGTAGCCGGCAACAAAACAGTCGAAGTAACGGGCAAGGATGACGTGGCGATCACTACAACGGGTCATGAGAAGAAAAATTTGACAGTTGTACTGGTTGTCACTGCCGACGGTAACAAGCTCAAACCAATGCTGATTTTCAAAAGGCTTACGATGCCAAAAGTGAGATTTCCAGAGGATGTTGTCATCAAAATGAACCAGAAAGGGTGGATGACAAAAGCGATTATGAAGGACTGGATCAGAGAGTAGTGGCTGACAAGGCCCAATGCAGCGCAAGAACCTAGCCGCTCAATGCTCATTTTCGAGCTAGATCTCACCTGAGCGACGAAGTCAAAACTGAGATTGAAAGCGTTTCTAAGATCGCGGTTATCCCAGGAGGCTTGACGAAATATCTGCAACCGCTGGATGTGGCTGCCAACAAACCTTTCAAGGACAATCTGAGGAAGCACTGGGACGCTTGGGTGGCTGACAGTAATCGGGTGGAGTTGACTAGAGGAGGGAGAAGAAAGTCGCCGCGGTTGGAGTTGATTGCCGAATGGGTGCTCCAGAGTTTCCGAGATGTCAGCGTTGATTCTATCCTCAATGGATTCAACGAAGCCTTGACAATAGATCTCGACATAGATGATCTCCATAATATCTTCTCGCCAATGCATCTTGATGATAGTGAGAGTGCTTACAAGGAAGAGTTCCTAAGTCAGCTCGGCCAACCCGGATGAGTCATACATTACTATAACGGGCTTGAGATGATGATTCCAAATCTGCTTTCGTTTTCTGCGGAACAATTCGACGAAAGAAGTTATGAGGGTTCGAAAGTTTGATTTTGTCATTTTTGAAGTGGCTTATAAAATTAGCGGAAAGCTCTAAAACAACACCTAGCGGACTTCCACTGGCTTTCTCCGTCCTTGTAGTCAGTATACTGGATACAAAACTGAAAACCCATTTTTACGTAATATTGTACAGTTTTCGCCAATTTTACGCCATTTTAGACTTGACAGATTTGGACTTTCAAACGCTGGTAACTTCTTTTGTAGAGTTGTTCCGCAGAAACCAAAAGCAGATTTAGAATACGCGTTTCAAGCCCGTTACGGTGATATATGACTCATCCGCTTTGGCCGAGCTGACTTGGGAACTCTTCCTTGTTAGATGTTTTTCTTGTTTCATATGACTTTGCGGATGTTTAGGTTGTTTTTCTTTCCTAAATGATACTACTGGTTGACTGTGCTTTCCTTTCTTCAATGATGTTACTGGTGCTGAAGTTGTGCTTTCTTTTATTTTAATTTACAGGTTTGAAGCTTATCACCTTTCGATTCCATGTTACTGCTGGTATTTGAACGTTCTTTTATTGTTCAGCGGATTTTTGAAACAAATACACTTGCGAAGAAACTAAAGAACGAAAGCAGAAAGCTCCTATAAGATTACCACGCGAAATAGATGGTGATTGCGGCTTGTGCGGTTTCGCGCATCGCGAACGACATCGCATTTCAGCCCGCGCGCGGTGAAAAGAATTGCGGCTTATACGCCGGAAAATAGGGTAATGGAGAAATGACTCGTTTGTAACGCACAGATGACGATAAGCACGAAATCTTATATGTAATTTTATGAAAAACTTACGCAAACAAAGAGCGTGCCCAGTTTTTTTGGAACTGAATGGGCATATGCTCATTTAATGCCACCATGCCGGTGGCATAACATTTAGTTCACATAACTTCTCGTATTACTTACATAAATCTGTTTTGTACACAAAGTTCACTAAATAGTAATATCATGGTCTCAACACTCCTCTTTCTTAGAATCCGAACTAGCAACGACTCCTTCCTCTTAAAGAAGAAAGCGCGCTCCAATTAAACAACACAATGAAGCAGGAGTAAAAATCAAGTGAGGCAATTTTGTTCCACAGGTATCCATTTGCCACCTTCGCGCTGAGCCCTAACCCCCTTCTCTCAACACGGCCTGCAACTCCTGCTAGCACACTATTTAGAATGCTGATGCAGAGCTGTCTTGGTGAAGTGCTTGTTGAAGGATAACGAAATCGCTCTAATGCGCGCGCCCCTGCTGGGGTGGCATGCGGGCTCTCAAAGTGCTGGGTATAATCACGCATTTTATCGTCTCACGATTTTCTCGATAGGACGACTGTCATGATTTTGCATGCCGATCATCTTACATTTAGTTATGACAATCCACCGACACAACTGGGCAACTAACTACCACAATCGACATCGGCAGCAATAAAATTGCAACCTTTGTCAAGTCGGAAGAATAATAAGGCGGTAATCTCATGATGTTTCCCGGCGATGAAGGAGAAGACTTTGAAGCAGGATCTCACTGTGACTCATCTCGAACGACTAGCGAACAACAGCTGCAGAAATTATTGCAGAAGATATTCAGAACTGCACAAGCTACTTAGTCTTCCTTCGGCTACTAAAGCACTACAAAAAACCTTTAACGACGTCGAAATCGGCGCCATGCTGTCAGCTTAGACAATCAAGGTGGTCCCAGCCACCCAGCTTTTGAAGACATTGTACAACGACGGCAGAGAAAAAATTACTCGTTTTGCTCTCAACATCGTTCTTTTCTAGAGTAGTATATATTAAGCAGAAAAACGGAACTCCACGATATAAGAGAACGGCAAAAGAAATAGAAAAAACCTTAATCCATAGGTAATGTATTTGGCGAAGACACGGAAATGGCACTAGAAGACACCCCGACATTGTCAGATGTGTACCAAGATGATAGCTGCAAATAAGCATACTATACTGTACTCCTATTGTCAATACGTCGCGCAAATAGTCGTATTTTTGAAGCAATGTGTTCTTCCCTGGATCAAAAATGATGTTGGAGAATGAGAGGTGGGAGTCTACTAAGCTTCCAGTGTTATTTTTTACTTCCATTAAATATAGAATTTGAGAAAGTTATAACTTACTCAACGTATATGGCTGGCACAAGCTATCGTTCATGTTGACTGCCTAACGACATCACTGGGACGTGTTCTTACATGTAGTTTGGACGTCCGATAAACATAGAAAATGATGAAAAGAAGAAGTCAGGAGAAGAAGAGTAGTCAGTCTTAGAAGCCACCGACCGGTGGACCCGGAGCTTCTCGTCTAAATTTTTGCGCAACCGTTCTCCGCGTCCTGTTACGCGGCTGAGACTTGTGCCTACACTTGGCCACGTCGAATGCTCTACGGAAAAACACCCACAGAACGCTTGAGTGCACTTCTAATGATGACCCGACACAACCAACATCTCGTCGGACATTGCAGTACAAATATGAGAGGGGTGTGACCCCGTGGATTACCTTGCAAAAGCGAGACATTGATGAGCCAGTCATGAAAAGAACGGACGACATATGGGAACTGAAAACCTCAGAGCGAATTCCTCGAGAAGCAAGATGTCGAAGGGCACTAATGATATGGGCAGACGGTTTGTAGAACAGAACAAGGTGGGAAAGTAGCTGGATCAGTTCTAGTTGACATGTGTACGCAGAGACTGACGACAGATAAGAATGTCGTGGTCACCCGTAATGACTGGGCCAATACTTCAGTGTTGGACTTGAAATTGAGGGGTGTAAATGAGCACTCGATAAGAGGCAGACCCTCCCCCCCTCCTCTCAGGTAAAAAACTGCGAAAATCCTGCCAACAGTGCCATATGGAGATAAAACTTTGTTGATGTAACAATGATAGAAATATGAAAGCTTGAGGAATTTTACGTAACTCACTTGTCAGCTCTAAACACTTTGTCAAATTTCTTCTTACGCAGAGCTATTTCTACTGCTTCTTGGTGCCCCTCTATTTCTTTCCTGATCCTTGGTGGACCATTGTCAATGTAGAAAAAATATTCATTTGGTGGAGGCCAGAATGCTACCTGCAACGCTCAAGGTTTAACATAAGTCATGAATAAGTGTTTGGTACCTGCGGTAGAATGTAACACAATGGAGGACAGCAGAGGATCCAGAAAAACCGCTTCACTCTAACAAGTATGTTGTTAAGGCGTCCCATGCGTTCCTTAATATTATCCCAAGTGATAGCAGCTAACAGTGCATCCAACTCATATATATGCACTGCTGTAAAATGGTATTTTAGTGTCCGCACCCGAAAAAGACGCTGCTTCTGACAAGGAAAGAATACTTGGTGACCGTAGCTTTTGAAACGAAACGCACACCATTGAATGCATCTTGAAGCGCTGATTCCAAACCTGTATTCATTATCTGCTGTGCGCTTTTCGAAAGGAGTTATGAACATTTCTTGTCACCAAAATTTGCGCTGTTTTTGATTCAGGATTCACGAATATCGTCAGAATGTTCGCTTACGCAAAAGAGCGTACAGATAAGATAAAGCTTGATGTTGAGCTCAGGAAAACTGTCACCGATATATCAGAGTCTAAAAAGTCTGGATACACTGACGATTTTGACTGCCTAAATCAGGCAAAATCAATATGGAAAAAAGTCCTTAGCTTCGTTCAAGGAGTCACACAGCAGAGAATGAACGTAGATTTAGAATCAGCGTTCCAAGACGCACCTACTGGTATACATCTCATTGCAAAACGTCACGATCACCGACTATCCTTCCCTTATGAGACCATTTTAGACAGACTCTCCTCTCTTCCCCCCTCCCCTTTACAAATTTTCTGACTAAAATTGCATTGCTCTTTTTCGAGTTTCCACAGCTGCGGTCCATTTCCATGGTGTAAGTTTTTCCAGTACTTATCCGTTTTCCGCAGCCATTTTTCAAATAGCTCTCATGAAGTACGTACATTAGGTCTAGGCAATTTTTTCATGGATGCTACAAGCGCTGTCCTTCTGCCACGTGCAGGGGAGAATTGACACTTCTCGGTTCAGTTTTACTTGTTTTTGCCCCAAAACCTATTTCGATGAACTACGAGAGCACTTGAAATGACTCGAAAGCTGTTGTCCTGATCGCTTCCAAATAAGACTCGAAAACGCCTGTATTAACACACTGCCGCGTGTATCACCATCTAGACGATGAAATTTTAGCGCTCTTCTCTATTCTGGGCTGATTTTCTGTCTAAAGAAGGATGACATTATAATAATACTATGTTCTTAAAGTTGCTCACAAGGGAATGGTCAGAAGTCGAAGTGGCCAAACCAAACAAGCTGTATACCATTCGATGCAGTATAAAACGCTGACTTCGAATCTGTCTTTCTTATCTGCTTCCCGCTTCTGTGGACGAAGCTACAAGCGGTTTTATTGCGAAAAAATCACACATAAAAACAGCGAAATTGAGCACACTGTCGCACTTTTAGCTCAGTTTCTTTCTTCAAAAATTTGAAGTAAGCTAGCTGCATGTTTTGGCCCAGCATTAAGGCGAACGTGGCTCTGCACGGCTAAATTTTCAATTTCACGCGTAATTTCTTAGCAAAATAATGGTCTTTAGTGGCTTGTCGCTTCGTCCACAGAAGCGGGAAGCAGATAAGAAAGAGGGATTCGAAGTCAGCGTTTTATACTGCATCGAACGGTATACAGCTTGTTTGGCTTGGCCACTTCGACTTCTGACCATTCCCTTGTCAGATGAAAATAGGATTGATATCAATATCAAAAACTGGAAGAATTTACTTGGTACCTAGGAAAACAAAATGTTTGTAAAACTTGTCAAATATGTAGATGACATGTAAATTCTTCTTTGGACACGTGGCAGAAGGTTCGCACTCCAGTGAAGTTGGGACCAAATATGGTAACTGGAAGCGATATTTTTTTTAGAAAAATGGGTCCAGAACAGAAAAGCATCGTCTTTTCTCCCTTTAAATCAACTGGCTTGGCGGATGGAAGGCGAGACTTGGAGAGCACGCGCGGGGAGAGATGCAGGCTGAGTAGAGGGCCGAGCGGCCATAATTGGGTCACAAAGCCCCGACATCCAGCCGCCAAGCATTGAATCAAAGGTTACTTTCTCCCACCTAAGCGCTTTTTGTGCAACACTACATAAGTGTTGAGGGTCCCTTCATACTACGCCGCAGGACGCGGCGTGCTGCAGCGCACGCCGCAGGATGCAACAGCCTGCCGCAGCACGATGCGTCCTGCAGCGTGTGCCGCTGCAGTCGCAGTGAAAATATAAGCTTGCTCGCTGTGAAGGAAGCTCTCGGAGAACACGAACGTGCAGCAGATATAGATGTACACCCATAACCAGCGAAACTGTACTGCCGTGGGTGCATATTTTCACTGCGTCGCTGCAGTCGTAGTGAAAATATAAGCTCGGTATGAAGGATCCTTAAGGGGTAAGTGTTAACACTGTGCATGACACATACATCAACAGTCGGCAACAATATCATAAAAGCAACAAGAATCTGCAAGTAACAGTAACAGTCGAAGATAATGAGAAGAAAGCAGGATGAACGAGAGGAAAAGGGATGTGAATTTTTTCTGAAATAAAGCTGATAAAAATGTCGGGTTGATCTTAATGTGTACAGTGCTGACCAAATTTGCAGCCACTCCGAAATTTCGCTATATCTTACTCTGTTTCGCACAATACGGATCCAAATTCTGCTATTACATGCAAATCACACTGCTTAACATTGTGTCAAAATATTTTGCAATTTTAAGCACACAGAAAGGGGTTCTGGGGACAGGTGAAAACGGCGTTGATCAAAACTTGCAGCCACTTTCTGCTAAACGTCTTTGGAGAACTTGTGACCTTCCCATCGGGCTACAGATGTACCCATAAGCCTTGAGATAGCAGTGCAACAAGCATTCATCAAACTCCCAAAGAGACTCTACGGAGCAACTTTGTTTGATTTCCAAATGGCCGCAAAATAATCGGCTAATCCATGCTCCTATGGAAAGGCAGTATTATCTGGACGTTTAGTGGGGGTTTGCGAATGTAAAACAAAAGAACTACTTGGCATGTCTTAAAATCTACCATCCCCATAACTCAGATTGTACCTTTCAGCTTAAAATTTGGGCTCAGCGCTCTAAAGAAGCTGGCAAAGCTCTATTGGAGACATGATGGCGCTACTACGGAAAAGTTTGCAATCTTTACAACTGAAAATTTCCTTAGGCAAATCAAACATTTGATAGACGTGATAAACGCAATACTTTTCTCTTAGCGGCTATGTTTCCGGTAAAGCTCATTGAGCTCTGGACCAGTGCTCGTCTTTGTAAGAGCAGTGTTTTCATAAAATTGGAGAACTCTCTGGATCGCTGAGCGCAATTTTTGAGCTGAAAGGTGCGCCGAATCTGAGTTAAAGACAGCTGCTCGGCAGAATTTCGTTTTCCAGTTCTTCACGTTTTCGGAGCCTTCTCGCCTTGAGAAACCCATACCTGGGCTTTGCAGCGCATGAAAATGGCACAAATGTGCTTTTTTCGAAGCTTATTAGGTCCGCATTCAGCGAAGATACGCCGGAAAAAGCCTCGTCCCGCCTTTCTCATTTCAAGCCCCGCCCACTTCTGGACTAAAGGCTGACCGGAAAGCTCTGGAAAAAGCACATTTTTGCTATTTTCATGCGCTGAAGGGCCCAGATATGGGTTCCTCATGGCGAGAAGGATCCGAAAAGGTGAAGAACTGGAAAACGAAATTCTGCCGGGCCGCTGCCTTTGAGGGGATGGTAGATTTTGAAGCATGCCAAGTGGTTCTTTTTGTTTCGCATTCGCAAACCGCCATTAAACATCCAGATGGGTATTGCCTTTCCGTAGGAGCACGGATTAGCCGATTATCTCTTGAAAAATAATTTGTCTAATTTTTGCGGCATCTGGGATCCAAGCAAATTTGCTCCGTAAAGTCTCTTTTTCGGAAGTTTGATGAATGTTGCACTGCTATCTCACCGCTTAGGGGTATTAGATTGCTGCATAAGTTCTGTCCGATTTTTTTGCCTTATGTTTGAAGCAGCTGTTTCAAGATAATTTCAATTCTAATGCAGTATTGTTAGTATCATTAGAAAGTGCTTTCCTTGCTCTTTCTAACGCAAATCAGATTTCAATAAATTTCTTAGTGTAAGGAGATTTCAGGCTCAAAATCTCTAAGTGGCCGAGGTACCTTCTCACCCTAGAAATATGTTCTTGCGAGGAAATCTCCACAATGCGCCCTTCAAGTCAAATTCTTTCATTGGATGCGGAATAGGGGTGTAGAAGGCTAGTATATGCAGAAGTTCGGTTCCATGAAGAAAACGTCTTGCTAGTAAAATTTATCGTCGAACATCAATTTTTGTATAGAAGTTTTACAAGCAATAACTTTCGCGAATAGAAGTAATCGATAAGCTCAAAGTTGGAGGTGCTAGGGCAAAGCAAGAGCTAGCAGGGCCCGTCCACCAGTTTCTTTCCGGCGCTCACGTCAATTGTAAAAATTTTCATAATTCGTAAATAGGCAGGCACACATGTGCTGAAGCCACGTCAAAAAGTGGCTTCTTTTTTGCTCGGTCAAAAAAATCTCTCGGCAGAGCAGACTCTACAGGCTCTTTTATGTTGCATCACAATCTACAAAATTTCTCTAGCTATCCATTGTTAGGTAAGATGTTTATCAATTTTCATAAGAGAGCGTTGTCATGTCAAAAAAGACAGGTTTGAAGGAAAACGCTGTGAAGTTTTTGCATTCTTGCTTCTTCCTTAACAAGGATTTGCGCAGGTCTCAATATAATTCTGATAGCCAAGGAACTGCTCAACACATAGAAACTAAGATCTTGGAAAAAAAGTTGACTTTGTAAATAGTTACGACATTTTGAACTCAAAAAATTCAAATCGGACAGAACTTATGCAGCAACCTAATACATATGTAGCCCAAATTCTGGGAGGTTATAAGTTCTCCAAAGACGTTTAGTAGAAAGTGGCTGCAAGTATTGACCAAATTCGATGTCGCAGTACTTGCCAATTTCCCCAGAGCTCCCTTTTGTGTGCACGAAACTGCAAAACTTCTTAACATAGTGCTAAGCAGTTTGATTTGCACATAATATCGAAATCTGAGCTCGTAATGTGCGAAACAGAGTAAGATATAGCGAAATGTCAGAGTGGCTGCAAACTGCCAGCACTGTATATGGCAGCCATTGAAGCCAATTCGATCGTTTCTAGCCATCCAAACAATTTTTTCCAAGTTATGTAGCAATAGCAGATCTACCGTAAACTAATTTCAAACGCTCATAACTCAACACATGTTGAAGACAAAGTGGAGATGGTACTTATGGAAAGAACAGAACAAGCTCTCAAACGAAACTGCCATTCCAAAAATGAAATGATGAAAAGATTTAAAGTGATGCTACTTTTACGAAATGTTGTAAGATTGATTTGATGTAATGAGGCCGTACAATAAAAAACGAAGAAGGGACGAAGCATGGAAAGGAGTTTGGAAAGAAGTGCTATTTCATGAAGAACCACGGTCGCGCGCGAAACATCCTGCCAAAGGCTTTTGCCTAAGCACATAGAGAAAGTGAAAATTTTGCACGTGCTCAGATAATCGCCGGGGGCAGGCGGTCCGCAAACTCGCGCTTTTCTGCAGGCGGTCAGCAGAATTTTGGGGCATGGCTAGACCTTCAGCGGGCGGCTCTTCCTTTAGGGTCGCATATTCTGCCAGCGGGCAGCAATACAGCATTTTTTGCAAGCGCTCGGCAAATAATTTCTTTCAGCGAGCGCTGGCCAAACTTTCAGCAAGCGCTCGGACTCTTTTTAGGCATTTTCGGGCGTACGTCGAGCGCAGGTAAGACTGCTCAGACAATCGCTGGGGGCAGGCGGGCAGCGGAAAAATAGATTGCTGATTTCTCGCACCCCGCTCGCGGATTTTTTGTAAAGCAATCAGAACTTTTCGGAAGACCGCTTGCTGAATCAGCGAATTTTTGAGAGACCGCCTGTTGAATTTTTTTTCGCTCTTATCTTTTGCAGATATATTGCTGAATCTCTGAGGAATCGAGAACTCAGCAAGCGGTCTTCCGAAAAGTCCTGATTGCTTTCCAAAAAATCCGCGAGCGGGGTGCGAGAGATCAGCAATCTATTTTTCCGGTGCCCGCCTGCCCCCGGCGATTGTCTGAGTGTGTGGCGGAAGTGTCACCGTTGGTTTAATTACTCAAGTTTGAGGTACTTTCTCCCAGCGGAAAGTACCTGGGGGTTGCGCGGTCCTCCACAAAGGACCGTGCGGCCCCCGAAATTTTTGCATATTCTCGCGGAAAGTCCGCGAGAATGCGGCCACTGCGCCGCAGCTAATCCATAAAGAAACCGCGATTGTTCTTCAAGCATTCGTCTTTAATTTCGCCAATTTTCTTCCAAATTTCTGCAAGCGGGCGGCAAAAAATCAACGAACTATTTTTCCGGTGCGCGCTTGCTCAAAATTCGCATGGCCGCCTGCCCCCGGCGATTATCTGAGTGTGCATGCGTTAATACAAGTGTTGGGTGGCCGTCGCATATCGTACTGAGATACATTAATTTTCCGCGATACTGTTGTTGGCTGTTGTCAACACTGAGGCTCGTATGCACATACATCCCCGTTGGGGAGGGGAGGGGATTTGAGAGGAGATGCGTCATATCTCGCTACACTACTTATCTTTCTTCTTTGTCTATTTTGCTCATAAAGTTTTTCATACACTTATACCTGCGCATAATTGATGCCAGATTACTGGCACAATTAATTAGATTTTTACACTATTTTGGTGATCCCCTGGAAATCACCTCTCAGTTTCAATATCATTTATCTTCCTGAAAACTCAATGGGTCGCTGTAAAATTGTACTGTGGATATACTATGGCACTGCTAAAGGTGTTCATAGTAGAAATAAGTGAAACCTCAGGACATCGAAGTCATCGGTAATCCCTAGCTCGCGATTAGGGATCATCGGAAAATTTACAACCTTCAGATTCCATTTCTCCTGTCGAAAACATGCTTAGCAGTGCCGTAGTATATCCTCAGTACAATTTTACAGCTTCTTCATTAAATTTTCAGGAATATAAATCACTTCGAAAATGAGAGGTGATCCCCAGGGGATCCCCTGAGGATCTCCTGGTGATCCCCGGGGATCACACAAAATGGCAGAAACCAGTCTTTATAAAAGTAACCTGGCATCCATTATAAGCAGGTATGAGTGTATGAAAAACTTTATAAGCAAGATAGAGAAAGAAGAAAGAAACGTAGAGTAGCGATATATTACGCACCCCTCTCAGATCCCCTCTCCTCCTCAGCGGGGATGTACTCAGATAATCGCCGGAGACAGGCGGTCCGCAAACTCGCGCTTTTCTGCAAGCGGTCAGCAGAATTTTGGGCGTGGCCAAACCTTCAGCGAGCGGTACTTTCGTGTTCTGCCAGCAGGCAGCGATATAAAATTTTCTACAAACGCTCGTCAAATAATCTCTTTCAGCGAGCGCGGGACAAACTCTCAACAGGTGCTCAGACTCTAATTAGGCAGTTACGGGCCGCCGAGCAAAGGTAGCGCACTACACAACAGAGATGTCACCGATGGTCCAAGTACCCGAGTTTGGGGTACCTTCTCCCAAGGGAAGGTACCCGTGGGCTGTGGGTCCCTCACAAAGGACCGCGCGGCCCCCAGCAATTCTGCACATTCTTGAGGAACTTCCGCGAGAATGCGCACCGCGCCGCAACTAATCTGTGAAAAAACCGCATTAGTTCGTCAAAATTCTTCCGAATATCTACAAGCGGTCCGCAAGAAATCAGCAAACTATTCCAGTGCCCGCCTGCCCATAGATCGTATGGTCGCCTGCCCCGGCGATTATCTGAGTACGTGCATAGGGGCTTAGGGTGCGAGTCTCAGCGATTACTGAGGTTTGGACAAGAAAAGTCATTGAAGTGTCAAGATGTTTCTCAGCTTCATTCTAAGCAAAAGCGGCTAAAATTTTTAGATGCAAAAGAAACTGATATGGAAGCTGAAGGGCGGCGAAGATCTAAAACTGGGTGTTCTAGCCCTTTATCTGTGCCTAATACACTCACAATTCTCTATATCAGAGAACGAAGCTGTACCGGAAAACTCTTCCTCAAAAGTAGCGGTTTGCAGTTTTCATTTTTTACATGTAGAAGGTTTCCCTCGTTTTCTTTAAAATCATTTTTCTTTTCTGAAGTTAATGGAAACATGCCAAAGTTGTACTAATTATCTAACCAACAGTGCTAAGCATGTTTCTGATACAACAAAAAAAGTTATAGAGAATGTAAGATTTTTGATAAACTTCAAGTTTCAGCCTGTGTTTAAGCAAAATTTTCATCACTCCGATACTTCAGCTATTCTTACTTGAGACATGCTTGGCATCACTGGTTTGATAATCTATACAACCTTGGAGTGTTTTCACTAATTCAAAAAAAATCTTGAAGGGAAGAATTGGCAGCTGGGAATCACTGAAGAATTATGCTTATTGCTGCGTTCCTTTTCGACATTCGTAATGAGGGGGGGGAGGGGTAATGAGGTTTACCTATGGGTGGATGGCTCAAATCAGATATCTAGAGCTTTAAGATTTGATGCTTCTATTTGAGTTGCGACCCTTCCCCGGCGGGAATATCAATACATGCGGCCCATGAGGAAAAGGCCGAGCTGACAGACAGGATAGAGCCAGGCATGTTTAACTAAGGACTGAGGATGAACTACCCTATTTTTAGGTGCATAAGTCGCGGGTGGTCCTAGCTTACATCGACCGACCCGAACACATCAAAGGACCTCGCAACCAAAGGACCCTACACTGTGCTGCTTATTGCCTGAAAGAATCGTGCGGCATAAGGATCACTTCTCGAAACGCAATGAAGCGGCTGAGCAGCTCGTGGGAAAATTTGAAAGAATAAGGTTTATACACCTGGGCCGGTAGTAATCTACCCTACCTGGTGGCATCATAGATGCCGGCAAGTTGGCACACATCGCGGAAAGATGCCAACTCCGCCGGCAGCTCGCGGAGTAATTGTAGGTTTTAATAATTTTCTATAATCTTAGTACGCAGTTATTTCGTTCATCAAATTCTGAAACGTAGACAGCCGCAAAACTGCTACCTCGCGCGCGATCGAACCTATGTGCGTTAACTTGAAGTGCCAAGACGTTAACAATTCGACCATTTGGTCAGCAATTGCCGTCTGCACCAGCAATAGGAGGAACGCACCGGTAAGTGGCCGCCTGTAACAGGGATCGATACATTGCGCGAGAGACTTTGACCTGAAAGAACAGCTGATTGATATGAGCGAGAGAGGGGCTAAATCGGTGCAAAATAAGATTTAGGAGGGATTGCCAAAAGAGATGGTGCTCCTCACGGTTCTAAGGCATTACCAGATTTTTCCTCTGTAAGAAAATCGTCGTTTCAAAAAAGAAAAACTCATATATTGAGAAAAATGAAGGTTTTTGGATGGAAAGTGGAATTTTTTGATTTTTCCGCCTGACGTAAATTGTGTGATATCGCCGCAATTCGCAATCTCACAGACGCCGTCGGCAAAGGTGCCACCACCTCGACGTGGTAGGGGCACGTCGAGATGCCGGCAGCTCCCTCTCTCAAAAGAGCACGCTATTTCCCGTGCTCTCTGACCTGCCGGCAGCTGCCATCTCGCGGATTCCGCCAACTTGCCGGCAGGTTGCCGGCAACTGACCTCGCGAAGTTGCCGGCAGCTCCTCCTGGAATTCCAGATATTTTACTAAAGGAGGAGTTCTGGAGCCGCAGATTTTTATGAACTTTTCTACAGAGTCGAGGCGGCAACTTTATCGAGAAAATTTTTTGAAAAAAGGCCTGGGACGGCCTAAATTTCGGTTCTTAGTTTCTGGCCACCTCGCGGAAAGGTGCCAGCAACCTGCCGACGAGACCTGCCGCCAGGTCGGGGGGATTACTACCGGCCCTGAAAATAGGGTAATCGATAAATTTGTTCCAAAACGCAAAGTGCATTTGAAAAGATAAGATGTATTCTTCGAAAGGTTTGGTCATAGGGGTGGACTCAGTTTTAAAAAATTTCAGGCGCGAATGTTGCTTTAGTCTTACGATCGACTCACTTTGAATAGCAACCATTTTGTAACAGGGCAGATGCACAATCTCTCCAAACGCCGATGTCTGTAAAATAAAGTATCTTGGTTAATCATGGCGTTCAGCTTTTTGAAAACTACTTGTGTTTTTCTATGGTTCTCAGGAAGTCTCTCTCTCCTCTAACGGTACGATCATCCATGATGGAACTAGTCCGCGATTTAGCATGAACTAAATGTTCAAATTTTCATGACTACTGTTATCTTTGATTGAGTCAACGATATCCAACGTGCAATCCGCTTAGTTTGGACTTGCAAGGGAATAAGCTTGGTCGAAGAGCGTTTCCAGGTGTGATGTATACCGTCATAGAGGATGTGATTGACCTCAAATCTGTTTTAAAAGTGTGAAGTTTTCCAAAACGGAAATTTGAGCGCGTCGTTAGCGTAAAATCGTACAGAACTGCATCGCTAAAGGAGCCATCGTATTGTGAAGGCACTTCAAGCGATGACTACTTCTAGCTCTTCTATGTTCATCACTTTTCCTTTAACTCAGACTTCGCGGAATACTTTCGGTGGGCAACGGAAATCTTCAACACTTCCGGTGGGCACTCTTAACCATTGCAGGGTCGGACGAGGGGCGGTCCAATCGAGGTGACGTCACAAAAAGCCGAGAAAAAGACTTCAGGAAAACACACTCCGGAGGTGCCAGAGATTTGCGATGTCGCCGAGGACCTCTAGGCGCGCAGCATCTCCGGAACACCCATGGTACGCAGCCAATTTGCCGACGCGATACGCAGCTTAGCATTTTCGAAAACACGCTGTCGTTGTACAACTCGCTAGAATCGTTGTTTTTGCCTTTTTCTTTCCGATGTCGTGTTGTTCATCCGTTTTCTCCGTTTTTGCTTCGCTTCTGATTCTTTTTTAGGTGAAACGTGCGGATGCCCATTCAGACCATTACTTGTAGTGTTCGGCTGGCTATCTGTCAAAGAGAAACCTTCGATTTTATGTCTATTGGCTACTCTTGACCCTTACTGGCACTTGCAAGATAGAGCGAGTACATTAGGGTGCGGAGATGGATAAAGGCTTGTACTTGTTGTATTAGATGTATTAGAAAGCCAGTGTAATTGTGCTCATCCAGCCCAGCAATAGGGTTCTCCTAGTGCAGGTGAGGAATCACTCGTGTACAAACTCTCTTGGATTATGTTAGATGTTTTTGTAGGATTATGTTGCTGCTGGCGATACTGTCCGGGAGGATCTTTCGGATGCTCAGCTACATGTAGGTTAAGCAGGTGTTGGGACTTGCTTAGTTCCAGTATCGCTATTACACAGGATCAGAATAATTTAGGGTATCAGTACACCAGCTCGCAGCTAAGAAGACTTACATTCTTTTCGCGTATCATCAAAGCTCAACCATTTTTGTAGATAGTAAAGTTTCGATTTGGATTTGGGAACGATTTGACGAGGAGTTCAAGAGGCACCACCGGAATTCAAAACAAGAGTGCCAGATGAGTTCAAAGTAAGAAATAGTTGTGTTCCTTAGAGAACTTTGATGTACTAACTGTGGGAGCTTATGACTGGCGATAATGATGACTGTTTTTATTTTGGAATTGCTCTCTCCAAGAAAGTTTTGAACATTACGAGGTTCTGGCAAGGTGAGACATAAAATTGTTTCGACGCTGCGGTTTTCACATATACATTCTGATTTTATACTTTGTTCCCCTCTTGGTCTTCGTATGATTTTAAATGGTGAAGCGGGAAAAGAAAGCCACCTGATCTCTAACATTCAGATAGCTCTTATCGATATGATTTATTCACATGTTACTCATTCATTAAAATTTTTCCTTCAAATATCCGCTCAGACTGACAGTATGCTACCAGGAATTGGAAACACCTATCAATTATCTTTTCTCACATTCACACACAGCCGCCAAAAAGTGACACAATAATTCAAAGGGTGTGGCAGTGCTAAGTACATAGATATTTCTTATGAGACCTCTCTTGATTCCATGTTTTTTTTATTTTTCCAGATGATTAGGCAAAGTTCTTCTGCCAGCTGTTGCTAGTTTCTCGTTATCATAAGCTTAGCTTTGATGTCTGAACATTCATTGAACTTCAGAAAATTGACTATGCAAAACAACCCTTGTAAAGGAACTTTAGACATGGTATAGTAATATAGCACAGAATATTCACTCATTTAAGATGTTTTCCACATATTGAAGTTCCATTATGCCAAGGATTACGCCGGTTCGACTTGGAAAATCCCTCTGGACAAGCAGTGGTTTGATAGCTCCAAAGATCATGGTGGCTTCTCACTTCTACAGCTTTTATGTATTCAAGTAGTCATTCCAAGAATGCTGGCCTTCTACCAGGAACATGTGTGGTCATATCGCCATATTTTGACATCGTGCGAGTTTCGAATCACTTCAAGAAAAACGAGAGCTTTGCAGCATGTCATGAACATGCGCCGCAAACAAAGGTATGGCTTCCAAAAATTTTGGGATTATTTTCGATGCAAGTGAGATAGGCGTTTGCCACACTTTTTCCAATTTCTCTAGATCACAAGAGCGCGCGATCTCGTTTATTATGAAATAGATTTTGATGGTGACAGAACGCTACTACTATTCCAGTAGAAGTACGTTGAGGATGAGTTCTTACTTTCCAGTTTTTTAATCGCTATGTTTGACATCGATCCAACAGCCACAACTGACGACGATAGCTTACTTGATGAGAAACTATTATTAGGAACTCAAAAGTGAAGTTATCCTTCCGTCTCTTTTTTTGATACTGAAAGCTTAAAAATAAGAAAATTCTCTCTTTTCGCCTTTTTTGTTAGTTTTGCTACTGAAATGCCATTTTGTCTTGCAATTTGCACTAGATTGTTTTGCAATTAATTTGAAATAAATGTATCGTCTTGTCTTCATTCTTGTATCTTTAGGGGTAAGGAGGGGGGGGGGGGGGGGGGGGGGGTGAGCGGAGAACGAGGTGGGAGGTTTGCTCAAATCTGGTCCAGACCTAATTTGAGCGGTTTTTAGGGGCATAACTGGAGTGTAGAGCTTAATTAGGGCTAGTTACGATATATCAAGATAGGCTTTCGGGGGACTTCCGAAGCGCAAATATGGGAGGAATCGGTGAACGAGTGGGCAGCCACCGCTGAGGAGACCCCTGCTGTTCCCCATTTCGCCCACCGGAAGTATCCCGTCGGTTGTCTGAGGAGCGCCGGAAGTATCGTAACAACTGGTTTTATCCTGATCACATGTTCAATCATTTCATCGGAAATAACGGTGATAACTCATTCAACACTCAGAGGAGTATAGTTATCAAAGACATTTCTAAAATCAAAACCCATGCTGCTCAAAATATTAGGTTGTCCCAAAAATTTTGTCCGTTCCTTGCCGGTCACCAAAACTCATAGTTCTAACCGATAGATAATTCAGGTATCGGTCAAATTACATTTTAATGCTCCTTCTGACAGCTACATTTTCTCTCTGATCTATGCAGTCTTTGAAATGTTATCACCATAGCTTTCAGAACAGTCTAACAGTAACGTTAAATTTTCCTTAGAGTTAAAATTTCTACACCACTGCAATAGAGCGCTGAAATCTGATGATGTAGAGTGAACCTTTGTCTGATTTTTGCTCATTTTAAATGACCTAGATCAAGTTTCTAATTGTATGATGGCTTATCTGAAGAAAAAACTCCACCCTTTTGAGCACATTTAGAGCATAGGCGTAACAGAAATTAAAAAATGATTCTTTGAGCAATAACTCAATCATCCCTACAAATGATGTTTGAAAACAATTTGGCTTCAATCTACAAAAAATTTGAGAGCTTTTATGTCTTTGTTGTAATTGCATGCTTCACAACTTTAAATTGAGGTCTCCAAAAAAAAGGTTTTGTGAAGCTTCAAACAGCGGGCTAAAAGGATCTAAAACACTGTAACACAGTCCAAGATTTGCTCTATCAGTATGACTTTTACAGTACTCCAAAAGTCCAGCATAAAATTTTTGAAGAATTAGCCGATTACGGCATATATGACAGGTGTAGAATTCTAATCGTTATCAAGCGTTAATTGTGGTCCAGAAATGCAACGTCAGAAAGGGAAGGAAATGCTGCTTTGAATGCATAATTGAATGCACTTAAATCTTTACCATAGTTTTATGGGCTTTCAAAAAAACAGACAAAAACTACGAGACAACCTTATAGTATACATCCTACTGGAAAAGTCACTTCGACCACGTATCCCTTACTTGTTAGTGATGAAAATTTGTGGGAATATACATTCGCAGTACCCTGTGCATAAATTATATTAAAAACATACCAAATCGTGCTCTCAGCGACGTTTTGCCGGAGGTCCACATCTGCAATCGGAACTTTGAGAATTGTCTGTTTCTTAACAACCACAGTTAACTTTTCTTTCTTTCATTTTTGTAAGATATAAGTTAGAATAAACAGCGATTGCAGGATTTTCAAATATATATTGGCGTAAGCTTAAAACACGCTGTCTTTCGTTGTTTCGCTTCTTCCGTTGAAAGGCTCAGTCAATCGCCGAGGGGCGAAGGAAAATGAATGCATTGATTTTTTGCACTCCGCTCAGGGAATACTAGAAAACCAGTGCTGTGGAAGCGCTTGTTGACTCCTTTTCCGATGTTGTTTTTCGCAGAAAATTTTTTTGGCGAAGCAATAATTAACAAGAGGGTTTGCTGAAAGTCATTGGCGCTTTCTCAGAAGTTAGAGAGCGAAGTAGAAAAATCAGTCACTTTTTTCATGCTCGCCTACTCCGAGCCTTCGTCTGCCTAGGGAGAGATCCCAAGTAACCGTAGCGATCTGGAACAAGATGCCTATCAGTAAACTCATTTTGTTGAGCTGATTCCAAACCTACCTTCCGTATATGCTACATGGTTCTCTATAAGAAGTTATGAACGATTGAAAATGCCAAGTCATTGAGGTTAAAGGCAGTGGTTCGGCAAATCCTCGACCAGAAATTTTTTTGCCTGGAGTAACCCGATGCGCAAATCCCAAGTACCCATCTTGCGCGACAATGGCCAAAACCAGAAAGCTTTTCCCAAGCTCCCTCATATTCAACCTGGACAAGTGTAACGGTTCGCGACAAGGTTAAAGACGCAGAGCCGTTGCGGGGCCCACACGTTCATTATATTGCGGCATGCCGCCTCCAACAGTGGTAGAGGGATTGCGAGCTCGTGCGAGCGCGCGGAAGAATGGCTTGCGCGCTGGTTTGAGGGCGGTTTCCTTAGCAGGTGCAGCATGCTGTGCGCTCGGACTTGCTCTGTCTTCATATCTGGGGTGAGAGCAACGTACCATATTAAAATTCCGAGATGTACAGTTTGTTCTGCCGAGCCACTGTCTTCAATGCATAGTGCTTCAGGAACCAGCTTGGAAGCACATGCTTGACATGGAATTGAGTGAATTGATTAGAAGGAATACAGACATACACGGAGACATGAAATTTTCTAAACAACTACCCCTTGAATTGTGGGTGAATGCTTTCTAAAATCAGATTTTCAAAAGCTCATAACTTCTTCTGAAAAATTGCGCAGCAGATGTGGAAGTTTGATTTGAATCAGCTCAACGAGAAGCATCCGTGATATGCATTTCGTTCCAAATAATAGATGAGACCTAAGGCGGTCCCCGTGAGAGGTGTTTCACACTTTTTGGCCGTCGTCGCCAGCCGGGTAAGCCTATAAGTGCCGGTAATTTGCGCTAGGAATCTATAGAACTAAAAACGCCTGCTGCGCTGGTCAAATGCTCATTCAGATGTGATGCTTCGGTTAAGGAAAGAATGAAAAAGTGACAGCTTGGGTTTGACAGAAATACACTAACAGTAAGTAGCAAGTTTTATTAACACTTCCGGTTCGCACACAATGATTATCTGTGAGCACGTTTCTTGGAGTTACATATTCGTTTCTATAGATATATAGCCCGTCCTCCAAAGATGTTTCCATAGGTATCACGTCAAGTAGCTGCCTTTCGCTCTTCTTAACATGAACTTCAGCAAATTGAAGGCACTTTGTCAAGTTAACGTCTCGGAACGATCGAAAGACTGCGAGCTCACTTGATACCTACTGCAATATTTCTGAGGTACAAACCATACATGATTGGAAAGCCTCAATGACATCAAAATTAGACGTTTTCTCGCCATTCCATAAACCTTGCCTGCGCAAACTATACGTTAAAGGCAGCGTTCAGGCAAGTCTGAACACATGAGATTCTCACGTGGATAGCAATTTTGGGGCCCTAACTAAGCCACTGCCCAACCTTCAGTTCAGGTAGTGCTCTAGCGGCTGAGATCTCGAAACTGGACCCCAGGATCGCATTTCGCATGGATTCATGGCGCAACGCGTAGATCCGCGCACGAAACTGCCATGGATCCATGCGAATACGATCCTGGGGTCCAGTTTGGAGGGGAATATATCAGCCGCTAGAGCACTACCTGAGCTGCCGATTGGGCAATGGCTTAGTTATGGCCCCATAATTACTTTCCACGTAAAATCCCCAAAGGTCCAAATCTGCCTGGACGCTGCCTTCAAAGACCTTCTAAAACGGCTAAAGATCTCAAACACGCCTACGCACCTTTTTGCTCCAATCAACCACTTTCGTAGCTTTGATGGTACAGAAGAGCGCAAGGAGAAGTAATTTTGTTTAGTTAGTTTGAAGAAAGATGCACCGATCGGATTTTCGCGTAGCAATTGAAGCATTTCTACATAGCCCTTACCACAGGATTGGAAGTTTTACCTCAAAATCAGACTCTGTGGTTTGCTCGGAAGTGGACTTCTTTTTGCTTTTCTTGAATTTCTTGATTTCTTCAGCACCGAAGGTGAAGACTGATGAACTTGGTTCTAAGCTTGATTCCTGGGTTACATCGGTGTTTGGAATTTCCTCTGTAAAAATTTTAGTTTTTTGTTCTCTGTTGAGCAAATTCGTTTCTAATTACAGGTAAACCTAATCTGTCTGACAATTCTAATCTCGGAGTGTCTTCAAACACAAATGGATAACGTTCACGTTGACATATTACAATTGCTGTCATCCTTGCAAGGAGAAAAGGTACAACAATTGTGGACGCGACGATAATTCATCTCCCATTCAAACATCCTCTGCAAACTTGGACGCTCTTCATCCCGTACAGAAGCTCTTATTGAACAGTAAGCACGGAACCTAGAGTTTCCTCATGGCAGTGGCGTACCCAGGATTTCGGCTCGGGAGGGGGGGGGGGGGGGGAACGGCAAAAATTTTTTTTCAAATGAAGGCACTCCGAAAAAATTTTAGGGGGGCTTTACAAAATTTCTGCGGGCCCGGAACCCCTAAAATCTTGAAAAAGGGGGCGTGGCTGACGCCACGCCCCCGAAAAAATTTTTATAAGGCTAATTTGAATTTTACAAGTATAAACCCCCCGCCGCCCCCCCCCCCCCCGCCCTCGGTATGCCACTGCCTCATGGATATAGGTACTTAGTTCAACAAGCTTGGCAACTACCTCAAACATCAAATTGATGGCAAATGCACCTTGAAGAGCAAAATCGTGTGTCATTGCCAACACTTAGCATGCAGACACCGTATCTTCTAATTTTGAGCAAATCGTTAAAAACTTATGTTGGATGGAACAAATGACAATTTGCCATATCGAAAGCTCTCTTTGCTTGTGAATCAAAGCAGGGGTGATACATATAGTAACTGATGCTCAACCGATGAAAGTGCAATCCATATTCACTACTCAGCCACTGGTGGCGGCAACGCGCGCGCCTTAAGGGCCAACAGGTTCAGCAACATGACACGCCTAACAGGTTTAAGCCTGCCAGCGGTACGCTCAAACCTGTTGGGCGTGCCATGTTACTGAACTTGCGATAACCATTCTTAGGCTTCGGGCAGAGTCCACGCGATTTGATCGTCACGATTTAATAGCTATAAGACAGGTGTTAAGGGCCGGGCATACATCACGCGATTTCTGGCCGTCGCGATTTGCTGCAAGTAACGACGAAATCGTGGCGACTAAATGGTTATTTGTTCATAGGCTACCTCTGCGGCGATTCGTGCATCCTCACACTTGAACACATAATATACCTTCTCAAACTACTTATAAGTATTTGCATCACATTCGGCTTGACTTTTTCATGTATTTTCATTTTGTAGTCCAGAATCAATTCCAATCGCAGAATCACATCAAAATTTAACTCTATCCCAGTATCTGCGCCTCATTGTTTCAAAGTCGCGGATTTTGCTCAACCTCGCCTTAAAGGGGTTATTCGAACTGATGCCAAATATCACGTCATTATGCTTGGTAAAACGACGTCTTCGGATATGGTAGGAAAACGCGTAAGGCCTAAGGCATACCTCCCGCGATTTCAGTCGCGGCGCGATTTCCAGCTCGGACATAAGTTCCGAGTCCGCTGCGCCGGCGCGCCTAACTGTAAAGTCCCGCCGCATTTTGTTAGACTGACGCCGCGACAAATCGCGGGCCATTTTTGGACAGGCATACTTTCGCCAACGGTACCTCACGATATCGTTGGCATTGAGCGATGTCGCGTCGCTGGTGCTGCACCAGCGACGGGGCATATCGCGCGAATTGCTTCTTCTTTGAGGAAAGTTTTGTATTTTTTGCAGATGTGAATCTCATTTAGGACTGTTCCATCTCACATAATCGCTTCCTCTTGAGAGAAGGTTGGTCATCGAGCATTCCATACTATTAATCTTTGAAAACAACACATGCGAAGTGTATAGTATGGAATGCTTCCCATATGTCACCTCACCCTTTTTGTTGGCATTTATTGTTCTCGCAATGCGCTAATTCTACTGTTCTTGTTCAAACAACAAGTAAATGATGACCAAATCTCGAATGTTTTCGCCATAATTCTTGAAGTAGAATAGATATGCAATCTTGGTTGCTTAAGCATGTACGTATGATCATTCGCAGATTGGCAGACAAGAGCTCCGCAGCACTCGTTGTTAAAATATGCCTAATCAAAGTCTTTTACAGGGCCGAAAGCATGGCATTTCGTTACGAAGCTAACGTATCTATATGCCTACCAGTAACTGAAAGAGTGAATTCAAAACTTTATGAACTGTAATTAATGTAATTAATGTAACTAATTGTAATTAATGTAATTAATTTCATCGCAGATGTTAACTTGCGCCGGTACAAAAAGCTTGGTAAATGCGAAGATAAGATGAGTGCGAATCCATATCCTTTTTCGTTTGCTGGCATATGGTGCCACATTCTATTCAAATTTTCTTGAAAGAAATGCACGGACAAACTAGCGCAGATTTTTCAAAAGTGCGTAAAATGCGGTTTGGTGTGTTAGCGTTCACACAATCGCAAGACGGTATGGCCTATGAGCGAGCGATAAGCATTTCTACGCAATGATCCGTCGCCCAGGCAGCCGATTCGCAGTGATTAAAAATCGTGACGACGATGTCACGAAGAGTATGCCTTGGGCCTAAGACACAGAACCATAGATTTGGCGGGAACACCGTCCAGAGAAGTTATTCAACATGCTGATCACAAAAATCATAGTCACATTGCGTTTTGCATGCACGCGGAGTTTGTGAGCATATGGTAGGTGTCAAAGTCATAGATTTGCCGAATCTTTGCGCAGTGAAGTCATTTGATGTTCTGATCACGAATATTGTGTTCACTTCGCATGACGAAGTCTTTACCAGACTTTTTTGTATCTAAATTGATCTAAGAAAAATGGCAATTGTTGTTGTAGTTGACACAGATTGCAAGAAAATGGTACTTTTCTGAGTAGTCATCATGATAATCATGTTCAGCGCGCCAGGGAACCCCCTCCCCTACAACAAATTAAGAGCGAATCCGAGATTTTAACCCCCTACAGTATGCCCATGAAACCCCAGAAAATGGCGCTACCGCACAATAACCATGATATTCGGCACCATCGGGTCGAATAACCCCTCCTAGACCGAGTCTGAGCGAAATTTACGGCTTTGAAATTTAAAGTCATGGATAGCGCCAAAAATGCTTGTAACAGGATCGATTTACGGAGAAGGAACCATTCCGGTAAAATAGAATTATTTTTGAAACAGTAAATAAACAGCCCAAAAAGCAAAGAAATGATCATAAAAACTTTCAGAAAATGAGCACAATCTCAGCGTTTAGGTCGGGTCGCTCGACGACGTCAGCGACGCGATATCGCCGAGATTCGGGCAAATCGCGGCGATTTCAGTGAAAGAAATATGCCTAGGGAAAAATGGTCAGCGATTAGTCGCGCCGGATAACTATCACAACCGAATGGCAAAGTGATTAACATGCAATGCATTCGTAATAGTTGTCTTGCCGGAAAAATCGCGAGGCGATGAAATCGCATGATGTATGCCCAGCCCTTTATGAGTTCACTGCATGCCGATCTTCTTAAATTTCGGTTGTGATAGTTAGTTACGATTAGTCGTGTTGGAAAACTATCACAACCGAAATGCAAGAAGATCGGCATGTAATAAACTCGTAACACTTGTCTTGTAGCGAATGAATCCGACGATCAAATCGCTGAACTTTGCCCGAAGCCTTAGGCCCCGGTCAGACTTCACGCGACTCAATCGTCGCGATCTAATCGCCAAGATTTCCATTCATTTTCATTTCACATTCAAAAATGTCGGCCTGGAAAAGTATCACAACCGAATGCAAGTTGATCGGCATGGAATGATGTTGTAACAGTTGTCTCGTCGCGACTGAGTCGCGACGATCAAATCACGTGAAGTCTGCCCGGGGCCTTAGGCAGTGCGGGCGATGCACCATCATCAAACGTGTAAAGGGCCGGGCATACTTCACGCGATTTCAGTCGCGACGCGATTTGGCAATATTCCAAGTGTCCATAACTCATTGTAAGCACATTTTAAGTGTACAGACGATAAGGCATTTCATCAATCCACGTAATTTATACACATTATGCATGTGCAGTTTTCTAGTGTTAAATCTGAAGATCTTTTGGCGAATTGCCAAATCGCGTCACGACTGAAATCGCGTAAAGTATGCCCGGCCCTTAAGAAATGTTGGAAGGACTGGATGTGGAAATCATCTGTCTTGCAGTTTCATTCTTCCTCGAGCGATCTCGCCGCCTAATCAATACTTTTGAAGTAAAAGTGAGGATTAAAAAGAAACCAAAATTAAATGGGAAGTGCCTTTGAAGAGAGGGCCTGCTTTTCATTCGGCGATTTCCAAAAACTGAGAACGCTGCTATTTAAAGGCAGTAGGTCCTCAGAATGAGACCCGTGGCAAAACAAGGTCACAGAGTAGGAGCCCCCATAATGGAAGGGCCAAAGTTCGATCTTTCTCTGCCACTTCTGACTCCGAAATTTCAAAGCGAAACAGCGCTCATTTCTTGTCCTCTCCGAACCGGTCCACCCCATGGACGAGTGAACGCGAAGCCCGTCATGGCGAAGACGCAGAGTCGTTGCGGGACCTCATGCTTATAGCATTGCGGCTGGCGCTCTGACCGCGGAAGTCACTCGTCCATGGGGTAGGCGGGTTCGGAGAGGACAGGAGATGAGTGCTGCCGGGTGGAGGAACGAACGCCTCAATTTGGCACCGCCTCCGCGGACTACTGGTCCCAACACGATGTACAACAGTAAGACGAAAGGACCAGCAGCCCGCAGAAGCGGCGCCTAATTGAGGCGTTCGTACCTCTACCCAGTGCTGCCTTCGCTTTGAAATTTCGGAGTTAGAAGTGGCAGTGAAAGATCGAACTTTAGCCCATAGGTTCCATTATGTCCTACCCTGTGACCTTGTTTTGCCACGAGTCTCATTCTGCCGACCCACTGCCTTTAATGAGTGATGCGTGTTAGGTGTTGAATTCGACGCTTCTGCGACTAATGAGCGAAAGACCACCTTCGGAAGGTCTTGCACATTCTCATAATTGGGATCGCCTATTTTAAAGAA